AGGGAACTAAAGGTTTGTGCCAAAGTGCCTGGCTTAAGTGTCATTTTTTTTTTTAAAGACTGTGAACTTTTAAAGTTATACTTAGAGTCACCTGGAAAGAGGGGCCTCAGTTGAGAATTGCCTACATCAGGTCTGTGGGGCATTTCTTGATTAATGATTGATGTAGGAGGGCCCAGCCCACTGCAGTGGTACCGTCCCTGGTCGGGTGGTCCAGAGTTGTATAAGGAAGGTAGCCGAAGAAGCCAGCAAGAGCGAGCCTGTGGTATCAGCCCTGACTTTTCTCAGTGACCTGGAAATGTAAGATAAGTCCCTGTCCAGTACTTCCTTCAGTCAGTGTTTTATCACAGCAACAGAAGCCAGTAGAAGCACCATCCTCCGAGGAGGGGAGGGGAGGGAGGGACCAAAGGAGACACCCTCCTACAGAACAGAGGCTGGCTAAAATCTTCCTTTGTGAGAAGTCCTGACAAGAGCCAGCCAACACCCCAAAGCGGACCAGGGGAAACAGTAGCCTTGAAAAGACAAACCAGGGACTGAGTTCTGCCCAGTGAGCATTCAGCTGCCTGCTCCCCTAGCTAGCCCTGCAGCTCGGCTCCCCCTTCTGGTCGCCTTGTATGTGGACTTACCTTAGTGTCTGGGGCCCCCCAGTGGGCAAGCGGTCTGCGGTCTGTTTGTTGCCATTTTGGAATGGGTATATGAAGCTTAAACAGCGGGGCAGTCCGCAGGGCCATAGCTCCATCTGTCTGTCTCACTTAGAGAGAAGCCTCTCACCACAGGGCTCATGCATGGGCTCCGTCTTGACCACTCTATTCCTGTGCCAACCATGTCTGTTGAGGCTGATGAGGAAGCCTGGCTTGTGTCAGCTAGCCAGGTATTGCATCTGCTTGGCTGTGTGTGGGCTGTTCTTGTGTTCGTTGTTTGCACGAATGTGCGGCTCCAGAATGCTCGAACTGTACACCGGCTCTCCGTAGTGTACCTTTGTCAGTCTGCTGGTTTTATTCCAAGCCTCTGAGCAGAGGGTCTGACCGCTGATCACTGGCCGGGGCTTCGTATTTGTTTTCTCAAACGGCATTACACTCTTACTGCAGACTAGCCTGGAACTCACTGTTCAGCTGAACCGGGCTTCAAATTCCCGGCAATCCTCCTGCCTCAGCCTTCTGAGTACTGAGATGCTCACGCAAGTAACTAGGTTCGGTGAGAGAAATTTGTACTCAGATTAGGGCACTTTTCTTTATTCTCTGAGTGAGATTACACGGATTATTATACAGTTCTTGCATAATAATCTCCCATTGGGAAGACTGTTTCTGTCAGAGCCACTGTCTCAGGGTACCCGATGGCCCCTTGATAGCAGACTGACATGTACACCAGGCTTGGGCTTTGCAGGGCATACAAACCCCTCTGTAAGGCTGTGCATGGAGCCATACCATGAACAAAGGCACATCTGGGACACCGTCTCCTGCTATTTCCTTGTAAATTTGGGCTCTTGTGAGGACTTGATTTATTTGCCCCCCATTTATTCATTCTGGCAGGAGAAAGTGCCCACACTGGCACATGTAAGGAGGTCAGAGGATGGGCTGACACAAGCTAGAGTCATCAGACAAGAGGGAGACAGTTGAGAAAATGTCGAAGGTCGGGCTACAGTCAAAGTTGAGGGGCATTTTCTTAATTATTTGTTGGGAAGTTTAAGTACCTGTCGGTTACAGCTCTCTTCCTCCCTGCCCAGCTGTAGAACTCCCGTGCTCTCAAGGTTGATCAAACACGGTTGTTCTCATAACTTTCCGGTGTGCACAGCCCGTGCCTTGACCCAGGTGTGGGTGGTGCACGATTTCCTCCTGTGCTTAGCCATCCCCTGGCTGGGGTATATAAGCCCTTTACTCTCTGTAATAAAAGGTGGCAGCTTCCTCTTCACTTCTCCTGGTGGTCTGTTAAGTGTTTCAATCCTGACACCCTCTGCCAGCTCGGTATTCTGGCCTCGTGTGTGTGTGTGTGTGTGTGTGTGTGTGTGTGTGTGTGTGTGTGTGTGATTATGGGTGGGACATCCCTGGACTGGTGGTCCTGAATTTTGTTAAGAAAGCAGGCTGAGGGGCTGGAGACATGGCTCAGAGGTAAAGAGCACTGGCTGCTCTTCCAAAAATCCTGAGTTCAATTCCCAGCAACCACATGGTGGCTCACAACAATCTGTAATGAGATATGGTGCCCTCTTCTGGTATGCAGGGATACATGCAGGCAGAACACTGTACACATAGTAAATATAAATAAATAACTCTTAGAAAGAAAGCAGCCAGCAAAAAGCAGGCCTTCGTGGCCCCCTAGTTCCTGGCCTGCTTGCGTTTCTATACTGACTTCCTTTGATCATGAACTATGAGGAGGAATCATAAGCTGAATAAACCTTTCCCTCCCAAAGTTGCTTAGAGCACGGATTTCATCAGAGCAATAGTGACTCCAACTAGGCGAGAGGACAACTTGCTGGAGGAACCGTTTCTCCTATCATGCTCGGGCTCAGTGAAGGTGCGTTTACTTGCAGAGCTATCTCACTGGCCCAGGGACGGTTATGGCAGACCTCTACCATGTGTGTTACGATGGCCCTGGGCACACGTGACTTGGCAGGCCGGGGTTCAGCTGGCCTTGCTTCTCTCCTGTGGCACACTGCTCTTCATTCGCTCACCAGTTTCTGGGGTACAACTTGCTGGTTCCAGCAGAATCTAATTCTCAATGGTCTTTTAGGGACACAATAGAATTTGTGGTTAGGGCTTCTGTCTTGTCCAGGGTCCAGCAACATGCTAGCAGTATTTCTCAGAGAACACATAGCCTGGGTGTGATAGGGTACACCAACAATCTCAGCATGCAGGAAACTGGTGCGGGAGGAGTTCAAGCCCAGCCTGCGCTACAAGGTGACTTTCAGATGCTCCTGGAGGAAGATTGAGATGAAGATCCAATTTCCTTTGTAAGCAACAGCACAGTGGGGTGGGGGTAGCTTCAGTAAAAGTTTTGGAGAAAGTTTACTTTGGCTTGGCCAGTTATCCAAGAGCAAGATGGACAGGGCAGGCAGCAGACTGTTTGCTTTTGGTAAGTTAGATGCACTTCCTGCCACTATGCAGCCTTGCTGCTGTCTGCAGCACAGCTTACCCTAGCATAATCCTCTTCAGGCCACCACCTGCAATGGTCAATGTCCCCCTATCTCAGAGAAGGGAAAACAAACAGAGCCACTAGACTTGCATGCAGTTTAGGACCTGCGTTTTAGGTTGCTGTAGTCACACTATTCATGTTAGTACCAAACCAGCCTACTAAGTGTTACCAATATATTCTCCTGTGTCATACCTAACCCCAGTGAACTAGAGAACACTACATGCAATTCTCAACAACAGTTTGAAGGCCGGGGAGATGGCGCAGCTGGTTAAGATGCTCACTGCCAAGCTTGGTGACCTGAGTTACATCCCTAGGGCCCATATATCGGAGGCAGAGAACCAACTCCTGAGAGCTGTCCTCTGACCTCTACAGGTATGCTGTGGCTTCCATATAAACATAGGAATAGTTTGCCAAGTAGTGGTGGTGCACGCCTTTAATCCCAGCACCCAGGAGACAGACAGGTGGATCTCTGTGAGTTCAAGGCCAGCCTGGTCTACATAGCCAGGGCATGTCCTGTTTTACGATAGCCAAGGAGAAAAAAAACAGAAGTCCTGTCTCAAAAAGCAAACAATTTATGATTCGGGACTGTAGTAGTATTTGTAGTGAGGGGAATAGGTGTGGCCTATGTATGCCTGCCACAAAGTGTAATGTAATCTCAACAGGAATACGCTTTCCTAGCTTTTCTGGGAGGATTGAGATGTCAGAGTGCTAACTGCCATGTTAAGTATTTTTTTTTAAGATAATTATTTTTAATTACGTGTACGGGTGTTTCCTCTCTGTGTAGATATGTACACCTGAGTGCAGTACCTGCAGAAGTCAGGAAGACTGCACTGCATTCCCTGGGATTGACAGATACAGGCAGTTGTAAGTCTGCCTCCTGACCTGGACTCTGGGACCTGAACTCCGTTTCTGTTGAAATCCAATAAGCATCCTTTTATTTGTATTTTATTCACATCCATGTTTTGCCTGCATGCATGTCTGTGTGAGGGTGTCAGATCCCCTGGAACAGGAGTTATAAATAGCTGTTGAGACACCATGCCGGTGCTGGGAATTGAACTTAGGTCTTCTGGAAGAGAAGTCAGTGCTATTAACTGAGGTGTCTCTCCAGTAAGCCTTTTTATTTATTTATTTATTTATTTATTTATTTTGGACACAGGATTTCTCTGTGGCATTGGAAACTGTCCTGGAACTTGCTCAGTAGACCAGGCTGGCCTCGAACTCACAGAAATCTGCCTCTCTCTGCCTAAAGAATGCTGGGACTAAAGGTGTGCACCACCACCACCCAGCCTCCAATAAGCATTCTTAACCACTGAGCCATCTCTACAGCTCACAAGAAAAACAATTTAAAAGGCAAGGTCTTTTTTTTTAAAAATAAAACAAATATTTATTATGCACAGAGTGTTCTATCTTCATGTTTGCCTGCATACCAGAAGACTTCGCCACCACCCTAAGTTCATTGGCAAAACAAGATGCCAGCCACTACAGGCATCAGATGTCATTTCAGATGGCTGTGAGCCACCATGTGGTTGCTGGAAATTGAACTCAGGACCTCTGGAAGAGCAGCCAGTGGTCTTAACCTCTGAGCCATCTGTCCGGCCCCCCAGAACTTTAACTCTCTTGTAGAGTTCATGTCTTATGTCTATAGGCGTCTGTGCACTATGTGGGTCTGATGCTTGTGGAACCACAGGAGGGGTTGGATCCCCTGCAACTGGAGGTACAGGTGTGTACCAATGATGTGTGGGTGCTAGGACTTTTGAACCTGGATCTTCTGAAAGAGCATCCAGCATTCTTCACCACTGAGCCAGTACTTCTCAGGTATTTTTAAATGTAAATTACAAAAGAAGATAACGCTATATCCACATTAAAAACCTCTAAGGCCATGTAAAACCCGAAGGCATTAAAATTTATTAAATGATGCAGTAACAACAGATTCTTTATTTACAATAGCATTATTTAACATCAAATAAGCAAATAGCATCAGCAAAGCAATAGTAACTTGCATAAATGTATTTAAAATTTCTCTGAATATATCTACCTTTGCATAAACTGCTCACACTAGAAATACAAACATCAATGCAGATGAACAAAGTGATGTTCAGAGTCAACTCTGCTTTGAAAATAAATCACAACCTGAAACACTGTAAGCTTTCTCCTGAAGAACCATAGTTAATATATTGCTTAATTTTACCCTTGTAATTAATAATCTTTTCATATACACATATCTCAGATGCAACTTCATGAGGAACTGTACAAATAAAACCCACGAATGACAAAGGAAAAAAAATGACAGTTAAATGTTTGAAGAAATGGATCATCATCACTGTTCAATAACATAAGGGTCAGTGATGATGCACTTATTCAAAAATTGTACACAATTCACTATACAAATATAATACATTGGACAGCTATGTAGGAATATACAAGACTTAAAAACAGATCTAAGGCATTATGCTAGGTTTTAGCATTTTGAGGTTCTTCACATAGCTTTTACCTGTAGTAAGAAACTTAAAAGATCTTGTTTTAGTCTATAAAGAAACACCAGGGAGAAAATTCTAATTAAAATCGAAGCCACTACAGTAATTTTCTTTTGTGCAGAGAGTGCTTTGTTCTTAGGCAGCATACTACCATACAAACACTAGAAAATTTTAAATTCACACCAACAATTAATGGCTTAAGTTGCATTTCAAAACTGATTGTGTATCTTTGGGTTCTGCAAGTGGATCTGTGCCTCCCAGCTCATGTGCCACACCCATATGAACTCCACTCTAAAACACAGATTAAAAATTGCGTCCGAAACTGCAAAAAACCATTGCTTCCAATTATTACAGGTTGTTAGAGATACACATAGGGGGTGTCTGAGTCGTTGAGTCAGACGAATCTGTTGTAGAAACACAGCTCACTTCACTTTTAAAACTTACCACGTTACATGAACACTAAAATGGGTTTTACAACCGAGTTAAGGTGTGTGTATTTTTCACATTGAGTAATATAGGAAAACACTGATCCTGTGTTCTGCTCAACAAAAACCAAGAACAAATTTATTGTGTACAGCATGAGAAATACTGATGATGAAGGGAACTGATTTGGCATTCGCTTCTGTGAGAACATGATCAGAGGACTCCTTCACTTATTTTAGTCTCCTAATTAGATGGAAAAGAAAATGCATTACTGCTCTGGACTATGAGGGAGCTTATACTCTCGTCTTCACATCATGATCACGGGCTATTCTGACTGCCAGCTTTGGACACCTGTCTGGTTGGGACGGGCATTAGAAAACAGTGGTAGAGTGGATGAACGTGGAAAGACAGACATTGTGGCTGGTGTTATAGTGAAATGGGATTTAAAATTCAAAACAAATCTGTTTTCAATTCCATTTTCTCTTGTGCCCTGGTGAAGTTAACAGTTAGTTAGCCAACTCCACATAATTCTAGAAATTTATCTGAAAACGGGTGGCATTCAGTAGTGTACCACATGCATCTCATTACTGGGGCACGGTCCTAGAGCTCTGGGCCTCCATCTTCTCCCTTTTGCCAGCACTGGTGACCGACAGTGGGGCCTCGGGCAGACACATGAACTGGTGGCCTCTGGGAAGAGCTGTTACTTGGCCACCTCCCTGCACTGAGATTGTCCAAACGGACAAATATATCGAAATGCAAATTTCCAGAAAGTTCTTTAGCACGGAGCAACACCTTCAGATGGTTTAGCATTTGTCTTTGGGTCATATCTCATTCTATATGTCTACAATCTGTAGATATATAGAGAGATACAAATATAAATAGGGTAGTTTATATGTTTTTCACCCTGCCAGGAATAAACAAATTTCAAGGAAAAACTTCTCTGTTCCTAGAAAGCTTGGCTAATAATGAGATATTATAAAATGCTTTGATTTTAGACATCAAAAAAGATATCATTCTGAAATTTAGGTAAGAAAGTATGTATATCGGGGCTGGGGAGAATTGGAAAGGTCTTAGTTTTGGGTACTGCAGTTGTCTGAAACTGACACCAATTAACAAAGGTTAAACCCCCCCCTTACAGTGGGCGGGAAAAACAACCATAAAAGTGCGCTGCTTAGTAACTCGTAGTCTTTCTAAGGTTTATTAAGAAAGAATATAAACATATAAAATCAAGACTTGGTTCCTACAGCGGCTGCATATTATATAGATTAGATAACATGATTCACGAGCAGAATCTCAAGGTGTAGAAAACAAAAGGTCTCAAGTCTACAAATCAGGTCTGATCAAGGCATCGGCAGCCTTCAAACACACCTTTAGGAGGCATTGCTATGAACATCTAATTTAATACTGAAGTACCTCATTTTTGCGTCAATCCCACAATATGTATACCTCACAAAATTATACAATTAAAACACTTAGGTTCCGAACTTAAATTATTGCTTGTTTACATATAAACTGGATTTGTATGTACCTTACAAAACTTCTGCTTTGTCAGCACTGCTAAAAAACAAAATAAAAACCCATGGCAGAGGTCAGATCTGTCGTGATGTCTGCTGTAGGTTTCATTAGTAACCTCTCATTTTGGAGGTCAGAGCGGACGACGCCGCAGCCCAGGCCATCATAAGCAGGTGCCGCAGCCTGACTGCAGCTTGATGGGCGGCAGCGTCTCCGCTTTGTCCCTCTCCTTGACGGGAAATGCGTTTTCCATGGTAAGCTGCTGTTAAGCGGCTACAAACACTGACAGGATGAATGGCTAGCCTGGTTTCTACAGCTTAGGCTGTTGCTGTTTTTATTTACGAGAACAGAAGTGGGAGGGACAAGAAAAGGCGGGGCGGGGCGGGATGCCACTTTAAACCACCTGATCAATCTAAGAACAATTTAGAAATAAGTATTCCTTTTTCCTCCTGATTGGGGGAACCAGCTTGGTTTTCACAGAGAAAGAACTGGGACAGACACTTGTGTGAACATTCCTCCTTCAGGTGCCTTTTCATCTCGAAAACCGGACGCTCACTCCTTCCGCCGCGGTGGGGGCTTTCTGTAAGATGCGCCTCCAGCCCCGGGCACTTCCACAGACAGCCCACAGTGCCTGCCCTGCTCCCGTCCCAAAGGCAGCTTTTAGCTTTGACTTGGTGAAAAGACACCCCTTTCTTACCTCCAGATACATCATAACCTTTTGGACTAGACTGATTAGCCAAGGAAAACAAAGCAAGAAGAAACCAGTGTGTGGAGCCGACCAGGAACAGAGCAAGAGCACGATTCTCCTCAGAACATACACTTAAATACATTCAATCTGAATGGGTATGAAGTTGGCCTGTCCACATTTACTTTGCAGGAGAGATCTAAGTTGCACTAAGGTGAATGCAGTGAGCAGACTGTGAGATGGTCTGGAGGCAAGCTTCAGGCTGTCAGGAGACAGCCTTCCAGTGGCAGCCAAGCCGGCACACCCTACGCCGGGGCCAGGGCCCAACTGTCTGCTGATGGTGTCCTAGGAGAACGGTGGCAGGTCAGGTGGGTCAGAACAAAGAGACGCAGCAGCTTCGCTTCGCAGACTGGTCAGGGGTTTGAGCTAGTAAGCCCCGCGGGTTGAAGCCGGATGGACGCAAACAGCTACCTGCAGGGTCAGCAGTATTTCTGAAGGGAAACAGAGGCGGTGTGAAGACAGCAGGCTCTTTACATTTGGTTGCTTACTTTTGTTGCAGACCTGGTCTGTCTCAAACTATCCCTTTGCACCAGTCTCCCAAACGAGAACAATGCAATTCCCATCACAAAATACAAAATGCTAGCTTATTCTAGATAACAGGACTCTTGAAGGCCACACATTTAATGAGCAGATGGGTTTCTGATGTGGGAAGGCAGCTGGCAACACTTAACAAACCCAGCAGCATCAAGTTCCTTGCAGGTTGTGCAGTCAGGAGATGGACGTCAGTCTCTTCTGAATGACCTCTCCTCTCTTATCAAAGACATCCCCCCAGCCAGGCATGGTGGCACACGCTAATAATCCCAGCACTCAGGAGGGCCAGGCAGAGGACCTCAAGGTTAAGGCCAGCCTGGGCTAAAATGATCACAACGCCACCCACACCCTCTTCGCGTGCACATTAGTGTGTGTGTACGCGCGTGTGGTATATGTATGTACTTGCTCGTGTGCACACGCATGCTGTGGCAAGAGGCTGGCATGTGGGGTCTTGCTGAGCTCAAAGCACCTTGATTCAGCTAGACTGGCTGGTGAGTAAGCCACGGGGACCTGGCCGTTTCTCCCCTTTCCTCAAGTACCGGGGTTGCAGATGTATGCCGCCATGCCCACATTTTTAGTTGGGAGCTGGGGATTTGAACTCAGGCCCTCATGCTTGCACAACAATCACTTTCCCAACTGAGCACCCGCCCCAGCCTAAGAGGGTTCCTTCTGACATTTTGCTTATTTATTTACTTCTTGTGTTTTGTCGCCCAGCCTGTCCTGGCTTCCTTTAAAGCTTTTCCTAATCCACCGATTTGACAGTGCACTGAGAATATTCAGCCGCGCCCTTGACCCTGGCTCTTACCCGGGATGCTTCTCCCTCCTGCTTGATCATGTCCATTCCAGGCAGCTGGTTTGGGAAAAGGTTGCCTCCCCTCAGAGCAGGGTCATTTACCTGAGGGTGACAACACATGACACATTTCACACTTCAGTGAAACAATCCCACAACGACTTCACAGGCCCAGCTGCTGTCCCGTGTACACATTTTAGACGAGGCTGAAAACACACTGATAGTGTGGCTGGATATTAACTTGCCTTCAAAAGTAATTCTATCTGCACAGTTTTGTGTCTGTATCCACAGCCCCCGACTCTGCGTGTGCCGGTTTAAAGCTGCTTCCGTCATACCGGTGACTCAACCCTGTGACTCTGAAGCACCTGAGATGCTGGCACCTTTACTACTCAGGCGAGCTACCCATGAGCAAGAGCAAGGTGTGAATCCCAGAACAGTGCTGGCTTTTGTGAACCGGCTCGGGCCAAATAAACTACTCATTAGCATATATTTCTTTACTCCTTTCCCTTTTATTACCTTTATTTTGTGTGTGGGGCGTGTATGTATGCCATGAGTGTGGAGCTAGAGGTTGGGTCTTTCTACTGTGTGAGTCCTGCAGCTCACACTCAGGTTGTAAGGCTCGGTGGCAAGTACTTTACTCTCCCCTTACCCCCTCCCCATCTCACCAATGTTAGTTTTTGGCAGAAGACGCGCGGTAGCTGTGGTTTTAATTTTTTGACTTATTATACTGACACCGATAGTCACAATGTTTAAACACACACACACACACACACACACACACACACACACACACACACACACACACCCCTCAAGTGGTCTGAGTTACTAAATGCACCCAGCTGTTCCTAGGCGGGCTGGCCTGTGACTGCTGTATTTCTGTGTCACTGTGCCTCACCCAGGTCACATGCCTGGCGGAGCAAATCACACAGCATCAGGGTCCATCTGTGCAGGAACGGCAACACCAACCTCACATTTCCCCTCTCTTTTCCTCCTTCCTCCCCTTCCTCTCTACGGTATGGTCTCCTGTAGTTCAGGCTGGCCTTGAACTAAAGTGCTGGGATTACAGGAACACAAAGTAAGAATTTGAAAACTGACCAGAAATCAAACTATGGCACCTGCCCTGTAGCAGCGGAGAGGCCAGCAGTGCCTCAGCCTCGTCTAAGGACAGTGGCGCTGGGGGGTGACTGGGGCAGCTATTGTGGCCCTTGCTTTCTGCCCACCTTTAGAAGAAAAGCTAGCTTTGTTGTTGTTGTTGTTATTATTATTATTTCTGAGATAGGGTTTCTGTGTATGGTCCTGGGTGTCCTTGAACTCACTCTATAGATCAGGCTGACCTCGAACTCAGAGATCCGCCTGCCCTTTCAGAGCTGGACTAAAGGCATGAGCCACCATACTTGGCAAAACACTTATCACTCCATTTCTAAATTCCCAAGTCATAAAAAAATGTTAATGATGTAAAAATTAAGAAAAAGTAACAACAAAAACTCCCAACCCTTTAGCAGTCAGGAATCCTTCCTAATGGTTTACCATTAAAAAGTATTTTTGCTAAATCTCACTGGCACAGGTGAAAATAAAGTGAAAAAAAAAAAAAAAAAAAAAAAAACCACTTTTCAAAATAGATACAGGACTCAAGGGTGCACACAGAAAACTCTTCTCTGCAGCTCTTACCTGCTCGGGACCCATGGAGGACAGCCCCGACGTAGGCACGGAGGTCACTGAGGTCATGCTGATCTGTCCTGTCATCTGGTTCATGTTGCTCAAGCCAGCCGTGTTGGTTGCCATGGACACGTTGATGTTCATGTTGTTATTGTACATGCTGGTGTTTGCTTGTTGCCCAAAGTGTGGTGGCGACTGTTGTGGAAACATGCTGGAACACAACGACAAGGCGTTAGAGCTGATGGCGAACAGGGCTAGCGGTCTGGAGTTCTTGTTCTAGAATGAATGACTCTGACTGAATGGTATGAATGCAATGAATACAGGCAGGGCAGCCTGTGACGAGGGACAGAATCATCAGGCTCTCTTTCTCCCTTGCAAGCGCCATGGAGAGGATGCACACCTTTCCACTTTACCAGCAGCTGGGGGCAGGGCGGGGGGGGGGGGGAAGGCACTTCCCGTTTACTCTTATCACAAGCAGGCTCATAAAGCTGGCTCTGGGCCACTGCCTTCCACACGAGTTCTACACTTAGGAGTAGAAACTGCTTCCAGGCATTGCTTTCCACTCCAAAGCAAGGTGTCATGCTAGGCTTTTGGAAAATTCTGTTGATTTTTTTGCTCAAGAGTAAACTGACTTATTTAGCAATTAGCTTGCTATTGCTTGCTCAAGCAAATACATTTTTAAAGATATGGATGAAAGAAAGGGATGGCTATGTTCTGTAGAAAGTTTCCTGGAGGGATCATTTATATCAGACTCAGCAACGTGACGTTACCTGTTTCCGCCCATGCTCCCCTGTGCCCATCCATTCATGTCTGAGGGGGGCTGGTAGGCTGGGTTGGCTTGAGATTGCTGCATCATGGGGCTCTGGGTGTGCGCCATCCGGGGGGACATTAGAGGGCTCTGGGGTGTGGTAGCCCCGGTAAAGCCAGGATCAGGTTGTTGACTTATCCCTTAAAAACAAAACAGAAGTCCAGAAGAGATTGTTAGCTAAATCACAGACAGCATATTCTAAATTATTTTCCAATACTTGATTATGTACAATTAATTACAGACATTATGGAAGTGCATGGGGGAAAAAATCTCTATACTTGAATCACAGGGGTCCTAGGACACACATTAAATGTCATGGCTTGAGTCAGAGAAATGACATCAACCCCCCTCCAAAACAAGAGTTTGTATGTATATATCATTTTTATTGGAAATGGCCAATTTTTAAAAAAAATCTAAATATTGTTGTATTGTATTGCTTAAATTTGGTTTAGGCTCATTAAGTTCAGGTCTATACTGAAAGCCAACATATAGATAACTTTTCATTAAACTAAATTACACCATCTCATGATGAGATAATATATTTTAGAAAGTAAGGAACTGCATTCACCTTGCCTCGTTTTGTTTTTGGAAAGGACAGTGGTACCGAGTGCTGTCAGGGTTAGCGATCGGGACCATTGACTGTGTTTCCAGTTTAGTCTCAGGGTAAAAGGGTTCACAGGAAAAGGAAAGCGCTCTCAGCAGAGGCAATGGGAAGGGAAGGCGTTGAAAAGGGCATTTCCGAGCTGGAAACACATTCAGGAATATTTCCTTAATATTTGTGCAGCAAAAAAGAAAAGTTTCTACCATATCAATACACTAGCTTTGCTTTCTTTTGAGACAGGCCTTCTCTGGCTGTCCTGGGACTCACTCTGTAGACCATGCTGGCCTTGGACTCAGAGATCTGTCTGCCTCTGCCTCCCGAGTGCACCACCACTGCCCGGCTATACGATCCTTGCTCTTTAAGGAGACAGGGCATCTGTATTTAGGCAACTCAAAGACTTTCATCGTTACTTATAGACCACTCATTAAAAAGGGAGCCATTTGGAACATTTAATGTCCATGTAGGCACTTGCATTTATTAATAATCCTGCTATTAATTGAAGATGACACACATAAATACTAATGTCTATGACGTTACCCCTGGTCATCTCATCTCTTAGGCTGACATTAACGAACCAATCAGCATGAAGTAAAGAGACCCCCACCGTGCCTCTGATGCAACACTTCAAGAATTATCTATTCTGTAAAAACTGGGTAGAATCGGTAAAGGTTGCTTTTCTTCTTTCGTAAGTGCTATCAATAACAAAGTGTTCCTCAAAAGCTGCAGAGTATCTGTAATATTATACTGATTTTTGTTTTCTGATGTTTTGTGTCAGACTCTGAGACATTCAAATGTAAGTAGCAGTATTTGTGTGTATTATATTCATAGACACTGACCCGAGCAGAACCACTCACGCACACTCACACACCCAGAGACAGAGACACACTTAACTTTGGTCCTTCCTAAAGTAACACCTGCACCCAGACCAAAGGAGGGACCAGGGCTAAGAGACAGCATGACCCTGTGCTGGACTTGGGGACTTCTGCCAGGCCCCAACTGTCCTCCACGGTATCCTGTTACTCGCTGGTCGGCCAGATCCATCTGAGAACCGTGCACAGAGCTGTGGCCCAGGACTGAGGGGCACTGGGGGGATAAGGTGGTGGGATAAGGCCCGTACCGTAGTTTGGTGGAAACGGAAACTGCTGGGCATTGGCCTGGGGGGCCCGGGGATTGCTCATGGCTGCCGGCATGCCGCTGGGAGCCGCCATGCTGGGGGTCATGTTCAGCCCGTGCCCTCTCATCATCAAAGTGCGCTGTTGCACCTGCTGATGCTGCTGCTGGATCTGTCTCTGCCGAAGGTGCTGATTGAGGATTTCCCTCTGCCTCTGGGCCAGCATCTGGGCGTTAATCGGAGCCTGAAATGGAGGGCACCCAGGCAGGAAAACCAAGGGTAGATAGGTTAGTCAGACACCAATGGCATGCTCCATGGGAGACCATTTGTAAATAAATTACATGAAGAAAATACTCACTCTGGAATAACTAGTGCGAGTTTCTAAGTTCAACCCTCGTGGCGATTCCATAACCCTGCTGATGTTAACTAACTCGGTTTGTGAGAGTACAGTCGATTGAAGGGCTGCAAAGAGCAAAGGCCCGCCTACAGGAAGGCTCTTGGTGTTTCTTTTTATGTGTTATGTGGCATGTGTGCGCCATGCTCATGGAGGCCAGAGGAGGGTGTCCAGGCGCCAGGGAATGGAGTTACAGATGACTCTGACCCACTATGTGGGGACTGGGGATTGGAGCCATCTTTCCAAACCCTGGGTAGCGCCAACTCTTTACTCTCTTGCTTCAGCCTGCTGAGGGCTGGGATTATGGCATGTGCCATCATGCCCAGCAGAAGACATCACTTAAGTCTCTCGTAAGGAACATTCCACTCTAACAAGAGACCAAATCCCTGCTAAGGGGACCTGGTGTACTGCAGGAGGAGGGAGGTGGGGTGACCTGGCAGTGACTTCTCTTGCTTCACTGATCACCAGGGCTGATTTGGCTGGCGACACAGGTATCCACTCTGCCCGCTACCATTTAGCCAAAGAGGATGTCCTGTCCCAGTAAAGGAATGTTCTGTAGTGGCCACACCATGGTGACGCACCTGATCTAAGGACAGTTAAGTAAGGAGGATGCGGAGCTGGGTTCCTGGGCTTGCTCTCAGGACACAATAGGAGGCTGTGCTCTGTTCTGTAAGGGCACAACCCTGGCCATTTGTGAGGCTGCCGACTCTGAAGTGTATCTGTACTCTCCATATCAACATTCACAGCACCGTCATGGCTAATTATGGACCTGGGTATAGTAGCAAAGGATTCAGATGCTTGGCACGCACATTTCCAGCCGAGGGGCGCATGCGGTGGGCAGGTGGCCTTCTTGCTTAGTGTGGAGGTTCCCTGTGGCCCAACAGAGCCTGATATGCTTTCTGCCGGTGCGGCACTACCTACTGTTCTCAAGTGTAAGAGGCAGGCGAGCTTGTTTATGGAGAAAACGCATGCCTTAGGTGAGGGCTGTTTGGCTCTGAGACATGGAAAATGTCTGCAAACAGAAACTCCCGCAGAAACAAGGTTGTGTGCCCTGATGTGTTGAGAGCACTGTGCATGTGACCAGAGACTTGCAGGACTCTAAGCCCGGGTCCTGGGGAGCATCAGCCGGCACTGGAGTCAGGACTGGCTGAGGCTTCCTGAAACATCGCCCTTGTGAACGACAAGAATAAACTGACCCTGGCAGTAACGGCGGCACTGAGAACTAAAGCAGGGGTCAGGAAATAGGCTAGACAGGCCCGGGGTGAGCAGGAGGAGGACGACAGAAGGGGACACGGTGGCCACCGACGGCCGCTGGGCTCCTCACCTGTGTCGGCACTCCAGGTCTCAGCGTCAAGTTCACATTTGACACATTGCTGATTTGATTCATAAGTGGCTGGCGGTTCTACAGGCAAAGAAGTAGAAAGAAAACTTTTTAGGGAGGGGGCTGAGCTGAGACAAGGTCTTTCTGTGTAACCCAGCTAACCGAGAATTCTGTACTTTTCGAGACAGGGTTTCTCTATGCAGCCCTGGCTCACCTGGAAATAGCTATGTAGACCGGGCTGGCCTCGAAATCACAGACATCCACCAGCCTCTGCCTCCCGAGTGCTGGGGTTGGAGGTGTGTGCCATCACCACATTCGGTTCAAGGTCTAGAATTCTAAATCCTCCAGCCTTGGCTCCCAAGTGTAACCAATGCCAGCTCAATACATTTTATAAAACAGGAAATACTTAGATAAAATCACCTTCTCCACTTAACCGCACCCCCAGTCCAATTCTAACACTTCATTGCTACACCAACCCCCATTAATCTTCCCGGGGCCCCGGCTCTAAGGTCCCATGAAAAACTAACCTGCTGTGCTTGGAGGCGATGCTGAAGTTGAAGTCTCAGTTGGTTTGGCTGGTTCTGCATGAGGCCCGTGGGCCTGAGGCCTGGTCGGGGCTGCATACGGAGTGTGGTGTAATTAGGCCGCTGTCCCATGGTAGGAAAGTTTGGATCTTGCATGGGATTATAGCTACCCTGGGCCATTTGCGCCTGAGATGCATACTGCTGTGGGAAAACAGGGGCCTTCTGCTCCAACATCACGTTAGCCTCTTGACTTGAGAACTGTTCTGGATCTACAGCTTGGCTCTGAAAAGAAAACCCAGAGAAGCCCATAAAGACCCTGTACTAAGGAAAGAGGAGGCAGTTTTCTCTTCCTCTCATATTCGATGCTTTAAAAATACTGTACCAATTATAAAGGTATTTTTAGCCTGGTCTACTTCTCCTTTTTATTTTACACAGTGCCTCTTTGCTTAATAGATCCAATCACTCAAGGGAAGAAGCAAGGGTGGAAACCGCCTCCCCCCAGCACTTCCTCCAAGGGGGTGGGAGAAGGGGCTGTGGCTATGTAATGCTCTGCCCTTCCCCAGTCAGAGCCAGCATGGGCTCTCAGGAGCAGACATCTGCCAGTGTTACCTCTTTTGCCTGCACACACAAACCTCTATCTCTCTATCATCTTAGTCAGCGATTGCCCTAGGTAGCAAGCATGGAGCAGTGTTGGGGAAACAGCCACCACTGTCCTTACTCTGTACAGAACAGACTTCTGGGAGTCTTTCTCCGCACTGTGGTGTGGCACTTGAGACCGCCAGTGAGATGGCACACTGCCTATTATGTTTTAGGGGTGGGACCCAGCTGATATAGGGTCTCAACCATGAGCCTCTGGCCTCTGCCTCCTGAGGGCTGGGATTATAGGGCCTGTGTCGCCATGCCTGGCTTATACTGCCTATTGTTTACTTAGCTGTTCCCTGTGGTTGGCAGGGTTTCTTACTTGCCCACGCTTTGCTACCATTAACTTATTACTATGTGCTAGGCATAGTCAGTATGCTTGTCATATGTTTTATTAATAGCTGCTCCCCCCCAAAGAAAGACCTTTAGAAGGAAAGGAAGGTGTAAGGACTTTAGCATGTCCTTCCATGCCTTGCATGATATCTGACAGGCATGTCTGCAAGACTGGTTATTATGTATTTGGTTAATTACGGAGAGATGCATTCAGCTACCACCAACACAGGTAGGGTTTCATTATGTAGCCCTGGCTGTCCTGGAACTCACTATGGAGACCAGTTTGGCTGGCCTCTGATTCACAGAGATCCACCTTTCTCATGGAGGACTGAGATCAAAGGCATGTGCCAGTATGCCCAGCTGAGAGTTTTACAGAGAGCTGCATAAATTTCCTTGTGTGTGTGAGAGTGTGTGAGTGTATGAGTGTGTGTGTGAGCCTGTGAGCCTGAGAGAACACACACATGCCACAGAGGACTTCTCAGGACATAGGTCTTTTTAGTTCACGGTGCTGCTGAAGCAAGGTCTCTCCTCATCTCCGCCACTGAGCTGCATGTGGAAGCTGCCAGCTGATTCTCCTGTTTCCTCAAACAGGAGATCTAGAACATTCTCAGGAGAATTCCTAAAACCCATGCAGCCAAGTGTCCACCTGAAGATATACCTGGCCAATCCTTCTCCTTTTAGAAGTCATTGCCACAAAACCCCTTGAGAACCCACCAAAGTGTTACAGGTCACTCAGGAACCCCAAGGACATTTAAAAATGCCACAGAGAAGCTAAGTTCTAGCTGATGCTAAGGTGAACCCAATCAGTTCCACAGGAAATAGTTACCCCTTCCCCTTCCCGGCCTCACCCGGTGTACCATTTAACCTCTAGTCATTTCTTTCCATTGCACTGTTCTCAATATGACTCGACAAGTCTGAACTCCTACTGTGTCTGCTAAACTGTGGGAGTTAATTATGACAAGATTATTTTTAATGCTTCACACAAACATTTAGGGTGACCTGACTCCATGTCACCTTCCTCACAGACGTAGAGACGTGCTGGAGGTCCGAGGAGACTGGCCTTGGAAGGCACTTGTGACAAAAACAAAGACGAATTCATGATGGAAAGGAAGACAGCAGCAAGGGAGCGTGAGCTTCTCTAGGTCCCTTTTCCTTCGGCCACACGGGAGGCCGCTTCACCGGTGCCGGGGCAGCTTCACACACCCGGTGCTCTCACATCGAAGAAACACAAACATTTACAAGTCTGGCACTTCCTCAAATAAACTAACGGGGGAGAAGAGCGCTAACCAGACTCACTGAGGTGACTGGCATTTTTAATATTCCTATTTGTTTAAATAATCTTAAAATTATTATGGGTGGTACCCACGTAAGGGCCAAAGGGTTTCAGCTGCAGCCACACCTACCATGCCTCCTGCTACCTATGTGTGAAATAGTCCTTTCCAAGTGGCGCTGCCTGTCCCAGTGCACAGGCGCAAGCAGGACCGAGGCCTGTGCCCAGACCGTCTCCCCTTCTAGGGGAAAGGGCCAAGGCCACTAGGAACAGTGACCTGTGGTTTCTCTGACCGCTTTTCTTCACCTGGCCCTCAGCGAGGGGGACGCGAGGCCCGCTGGACTTTAGTGGACACCTTTCTGCTTCCTGGGCAATGGTTTATGGTCGAGTAGTGGAGGAGAAGGAGGGGTGGGGGGGGCAGGCCTGCCTACCGGGAGGTGAAAGCACCCCAGAGTGGAGCAGACACCTCCTGCCTACAGAGCTGTGGCTCCTGCAGTGCCCTGGCCTACCTGGCTGACCAGTTCTGGGATCCCCAGAGCTCGATCAATCTCCTCGAGGCCATCGAAGTTCCGCAAGGCCAGATACAGCTGGTCTAGAAGAGCGCCCTCATCGCTTGGAGACTCTGCTGCAGGGTGTGGACACAGCAGGTCGTCGGGGGAACTGCCAAACGGCTGCCTGCAAAGAGACAAACTTCACCATGGGCTGACAGAAATGCCAGCTGACTCCCAGCGTTTCTGCAATGAGCTCTTGCACCAGCCAAACAATGAACAAAGCCAAGACTCGTGAAAGCACGCACCTGAAAATCCATTCCATCTAGTGCTAATAAAGACCCGACATAAGTTGAGGCAGTTTTGTTTCTACACGTCCCACCCACTCTACAGCTAGCAAAGTAGGGGTCAGGTACCCCTACTTTAGTCAGGAACCACATCTGTAGGAAGTCCCAAAGGCACGAAGGCTACTTAGATCTGTGTGTTCGGGACCCACCTGACTGGCCTCTTCCCCGGACCTACTTTGCATATCTGCTTTGCACTGACAGGATGGAATAGCCTGGAGCTTTCGGCAGGAAACAGTGCCCCCCATCACAGTTACTTTCTACAGGAGGCAATGATGGCCATGGCCAAGTAGGAGAGAAGAGCAATCATCAGCATAAAAGCCACCCTCACTCGAATTAAATCTGGGCTTGAGTGAACTTGGGTGAGCTACTAGGAAACATTGAACTTATGCAGAGGCAGAATTTGCAAGCATTTCTTAACATTCTCAAAAAGCGTCGCTGTTAGCCTTTGTGGGTTACGCGGCAAGGGAAGGGAATCCCGAACCTTCTAACCGTAACAGCTGTAAGGCAATCAAGATGGCATCATCATGATACTCAACTGCTGTTTCTGCTCTTTTCTTTCTAGTTTGTTTTTTTGAGACAGGCTTTCTCCGTGTAGCCTTGGCTGGCCTCAAACTCACAGAGATCTGCCTGTCTCTGCCTCTCGAGTGCTGGGATTAAAGGTGTGCGCCACCATCACCCGGCAAAGAGCGTGTATATAAAAGGGTGTATATATATTATTATTATATGTAGACATACTCCTCTGTTGTCACTAAGAAGTGTGTGAAGAACAGCTTGCTTGCATTGGATGTGTTCAAAATGTGCCACCTACTTTTTTCCTGCACTCCACACTCCCCAATTAATCTTTTTTAAAAAAAAATCCAACCCTGCCATGACCCAGGGGCTGCAAGAAGAAGCACAAAAATGGCAAAGTGTGGGAGGAGCCACACAGGGGCATGTCGGGGCATTAGGAGACCCCAATATGAGTGATCAATGACTGCACAGAGGGGGTCTCCTGGAAAGTGCTGGTGACCAAGAGCTGATGTGGGCTTTTGATCATGTCCCCTCAGGCCTGGGAAGCTACTTAGTGAGGCAGTAAAGCGTTGTCTCTTTGCTGGCTAGTTTGATGTCAACTTGACACAAACTACAGCCGCGAGGAGGCAACCTCAACTGAGAAACGCCTCGATACGATCAGGCTGAAGGCAAGACTGTAGGGCACTTTCTTTTCTTTTTCCTTTAAGATTCTATTTATTTATTTATTATGTATACAGTTAACTGCATGCATGCTTGCATACCAGAAGAGGGCACCAGGTGTCATTATAAATGGTTGTGAGTCACCATGTGCTTGCTGAGAATTGAACTCTGGTCCTCTGAAGAACAGCCAACGCTCTTAACCTCTGAGCCATCTCTCCAGCCCCGTAAGGCATTTTCTTAGTGATCAGTAGGGGAGGCCCAGCCCATGGTGGATGGTGCCATCCCTGGGCTGGTGGTCTGGGTTCTACAAGAAAGCCGGCTGAGCAAGCCACAGAGAGCTAGCCAGTTAGCAGCACCCCTCCATGGCCTCTGCGTCAGCTCCTGCCTCTAGGTTTCTGCTTTGTTTGTGTTTCTGTATTCCTTCCTTTGATGATGAGCAGCGATATGGAAGTGTAAGCCTCCCCAGCTTGTTTTCAGTCGTGATGTCTCATCAAGGCAATGACAAACCCCGACTGGGACAGCCTCTGTCCAGCTGTGTTAACAGCTGTCAGCTTCTGTCAGAAGGTGTAATGCAAAACAGCATTCCTCCCCAGATTCCTCCACCAATGAACCACAGGGCAGTGTGGAATCTGCATGACCAGACTTGCCAATCTTTATCCCACTGAAGCTAGCCAGGGAGCTGGAGGGGCTCAGCTCCTCACCCCGCAGCGACCGAGTGCTCACAACAGAAAACAGATGCACATGTTCATCCAAGCTAAACATGTACTTCTGCAGAATAAAATATGGTTTTGTTAGTGTTGTTTTGTTTTTCTGAGACAGGGTTTTATTATGCAGCATTAGTGGGCCTGAAAGTTACTACATAGGCCAAGCTGGCTTTGGGATTGCAGTGATCTACCTGCCTCTGCTTCCCAAGTCCTGGAATAAAGATGCATCAACACTTCTGGATCTTTTTTTCTTAAATCAAAAACCCTAAACATATGTATACACAAAAAACCAAAGCAGGGTGGGTGGTAGCTTAGTAGCAGAGAACTTGCAGAGCACACAGGGCTCTGGGTTTGATCTCTAGCACTGTAGAAAAATGCAAACCCACTGGGTGCATGCCTTTAATCCCAGCACTGGGGAGGCAGAGACAGGCAGATCTCTGTAAGTTCGAGACCAGCCTGGTCTACAGAGCGAGTTCCAGGACAGCCAGGACTACACAGAGAAACCCTGTCTGGAAAAAAACAAAACAAAACAAAAATGCGAACCCTATGGCAGGTAAGGCAGTGCCTACAGCTTCCCCACTGTGGTCTAGGACTGTTCTAGCACCACATCCTCAGCTTCTTCTTCCTGAACAGTTTACTGACTCACTGCACTCATATTATTAGCACCCCAGGCCTCAGCTTTATGTGGAAAATATCTACGTGTGTGGGGCAGGTGATGACAGTGAAATTCAGGGACAAACCTGCAGTCACATCAGACCTTTCCACATGCCACACCACAACATTCCATGAGTCTTGACCATTCTGGGTAACATCTTTCTGTTGAGGAACACACACACACACACACACACCATCTTTCTGTTGAGGAACACACACACACACACACACCCTCACAGTTCCTCTGACCACCCTACTCTTCCCTTATACTAGACCACTGGCTGTGCTATGCTGGGTGGACAGGGCACTTAAGTTCAAAGTATCAGCACCAGGCTGTGTGTGGAGGTGAGGATTGTACGTTCTGCTCTGTGCTGACTTTGTGCGAGGAGTAAACCATACAGGGTTAGGAACTTTCCACTCGATGAAAACAAAAGATTCCTAGTGCAGCTGGACCAGCTTGTTACCAAGCATGTCTTATTAAGACAGATACACTATGTCCCAGCCCAGGGGCACAGCACACATTTCTGCAGTCCCCTTAGAAACAAACACAGGCAGTGTACACTCAGAAAACCCAGCCTTACGCAGGCAACCGTGGGTGAAATTCAGGATTTGGACTTGGGATGCCCACTGACCTATGTCAGCTAGCATTGTTAGCATATTGGAAACACTGGGTCAAGAAAATCAAGGAAATGAGTGTGAAGGCACAGGGAGCAGCCGCAGAAATCAAGCAGCCACGGGAGCCTCTAAAAAGTGACTAGGCAAGCAACTGTTAGAAATGAAAGATAATAATAGTGTAGCTAGAGATGATTAATATATAGGCCAATATAAGGACAAACTATACTGAATAATGTATATAGAAATCAAAATATGAAAACTATATGAGAACTTTAAGAAATACTAACTGGGTGTGGTGGTGCATGACTTTAATTCCCAGTTCTAGGCCAACTTAGTCTAATAGAAAATTCCAGGCTAGCTAGGGCTACATAGTAAGATACTGTTCAAAAAAGGAAGAACGAAAAGAAATATGCAAAACAGGAGATGGCAAGCATGTACAAGCTTTCCTGTAAAGCTTCATGATCTCAGTTTGACCCCAGAACCTACAGTGCAGACATGACTCCCAAAAGTTGACCTCTGACCTCCACACGTGTACATGCACTTGCACACACATAAAACATATTTATTTAAAGAAAAGGAGAGAGAGAGAGAAGGTCAGATGGCAGAGATGGAGACTTAATGCCCCTGCAGAGAACCAGCACTCAGTCCCAGGGCCCACATCAGGGGACCCTTAGGAGCCCAGGGGCTTCTGCAGACATCTGTGTACATAAACTCATATAGGCACAGGCATGCGCGCGTGGACACACACATTTTAAAAAGTAAAACAATACATGAATGAAATAGAGCGGTGTGGCATACATTGTCAGCATCCTATGAACAAAGAATGAGAAGACAGAGAAGGGCAGGGTGTAAATATAAGGTCACTAAGAGTCTTCTAGAACTGCTGAAGAGGATTTATGAAAGCCTAGTGTGAGGCACACCTCTGTAATTCCTGCCCTTGGGAGGCCCAGGCAGAAGGACTGCAAGTCTTGTTTTTGACTTTACTTTTTTTTGTTTTTGTTTTTCTTTTGGAGACAGGGTTTCTCTGTGTAGTCCTGGCTCTGTAGACCAGGCTGTCCGAGAACTCAGAGATCCACCTGCCCCTGTGTGCTGGGATTATTGTGTAGGTATGTGTTCCTGCACACACAGACACATATGGAAGCCAGAGGTCAATGTCAGGGTTCTTTCCTGAGTTTTGTTTTCAGACAAGGCCTCTCACTGGGGCCTGGGACCCGGAGATTATGCTAGACTAGCTGGTTACTGGACCACACGGATCCCTCAGTCTCTGCCTCCTCAGTGTGGGCTTCACAAATGTGTGCCACTACAACTGGCTCTTCTTGTTTTTTGAGACAGGGTTTATCAGTCTGTCCTGGAACTAGCTCTGTAGACGAGGCTGTCTGTTTTCATTTGTTTGTTTGTTTGTTTTTAATTTTTTTGTGACAGGGTTTGTCTGTGTAGCTTTGTAGACCAGGCTGGCCTTGAACTCATAAGAGATCCACCTGCCTCTGCCTCCTGAGTGCTGGGACTAAAGGCGTGCGCCACCACGGCCCGGCTACAGCTGCCTTTTAGAATGGGTTTTGGACTCTGAACGTGGCTCTTCATGTCTGTGCAACAAGCACTTAAGCAGCTGTGTTATCTTACTAGCTCCCTTCAAATCCTCCCGCATGCCTCTCCTTGCTCATTTCAAATTCACAGCTTCCTTTTGCACTAATTGTTACAAGAATATGTGTACACATGGACATGTACACATTCCTAAATATAACCTGCTTAGACTGCATGTCTCTTGTATGTGGTGCTTTCTTGTATGTGGCTGACCGTTTGGTACTGGGCGTGCTCTTCCTTGGAGGAGACTACTCGCCCTACTAGGCTTTCCTTCGCTGCCTGAAGTTCTTTGTGTAGGGTTAGGCCTTGTGGCCTTTCTCCCACTCACTCTGGAATGTCCTCGCCCAGCTCATGGTTAGACAGTCTTGTTGGTGGGACCTTATGGCTGCAGCCTTCTGATACTATCGGGACACATCCTGGCAGCAAACTCCCTCATCCTCTGGCTCTTAAAATCTTTCTATCCCTTCTTTCACAATGTTCCCTGAGCCTTACGAGTGGGGGGTTGTTTTGCAGATATGTATCCATTGGGCCTGGCTCTACAGCTGCAATTTGATTGGTTGTTGTTTTCTGGAATGGTCTCTGTCTGTTGCAAAGAGGGGGTGAGGACCCTGGAGAGGAGGTGGGTGCCCCTATTTTTTTTTTTTTTTTTTGTGAATTGTGGTAAAACACTCACAACCCAAAATGAGATCATTTCCTGTTACCCTACACATACCAGGCCACCCTGAGCCAGCAGTGTGCTGCTCTGCCACGCACACTGGGCTATTCTGCCCCCCCCCCCCCCCCCCGTGAGCTTTCCCAAGACTCTGAAACCTTCTCTGTCATCCTTGATGGACGAGCTACTGAAACATGGTTGTCCCTCCCTCTCAAGGTGCCACTGCCCAATTACACCTAGCAGCACAAATACCATTTCCCCCCAGTACACTGCCAGGTTGCCAGGCGTTGAAAGTGTGTCTAGGTCATGCTGAGGTTTGCGTCTTCCTCTCCAGGTGCAACTAATGGAACCCGTGAGCCACGGGCTACGGCTCTGGTACCCAGACTCACCTGTTCTGGCTGGCAAAAGATGCCTGGTCTATAGGCAGGATGCTCTCAGGCCACGGGGCAGTTTGATTTGGAGGAGCTTGTTGTTGATTATACTGAGGTCCCCCCATGTTCATCTCCAACTCAGAAGGCCCTAAAAGAGGGAGGAGAAAGAAAAAGAAAAGCCAACATATTGTATCTTATAATCTAGAAAGCACACATGTTTATTATATAATAGCAGAGGAGATGGCAGAAGCAGTAAATGAAAGCAGTAAATAGCAAGGCTGAGCCACCTGCCTCAGGGCATGCCCAGAATCCCCATTTTCTCTTGAAGCTTTGGTTTGTGGTACGTACAGAAAACACTCACTTTTAAAATATAAAGATTAGTAAGTATGTATAAAGATAATGACGGTTTTCATGGCGTGGCTTAACATGTGTGCAATGCTTTGCACATGGGGATTAACACAATTTCCTCCTCACTTTTCCATGCGTCCACAGTGCCAGGCTTCTTTCTGCCAGACCACTGGGTGCCCGCAGATGGGAATGCAGACGACCAGCTTAGGCCACGCACATACCCTACAAGGTCCTGGGTAAGATTTAAGTCTGGGAACCACTTACTACTTTGAGTACGTATATAGAGATGTAATTATAAATGTCACTCTCAGAAATAATTTGTGAAAACCCACACAGCAATTCAACATGTATGGAAGAAATCTAATGTCAGAGTTCTGAAGAGAAGCCTGCTACCCTGTCAGCACAATCTTTCGTCTTCCTGTGAGTAAATGAGTACTTCCTGTGCAATGCCTAACATCAAAGTTTACAAACGCAGACTTTTCAGAGCAAGTGCAGTAACAGAGGAAGGTACTATGTCTGTGACTAAAAAATAAAAAAGTAGAAGTTGTACAGAGCGCTGATCTTTTTTCCCTTGAGACAGAATCTCACTTAGCTCAAGCTGGCCTCAAATTCGCTATGTTGTTGAGGATGAGGAACTGCTACTGATCCCCTCCTGCCCCTCTCTCCCAATCGTAAGTGTGCTCCTTAAGATTTTAATTAACAGGTTTCATGAGATTATTTTCAAGCGAATCATCCAGTGGATATCAGTATGTTCAGCTATCAATACTAGCACATTCTCAGCTGCTCAGAAAGAAGCTGGGAGCCACATCTTTCAGGTGACCAGCACAGTCTATGATGCACACGTCATATAAAGAAAGGTTTTGTGGAATGTGCACAGAACTTTCTATGTTAACTCTAAAGATCCCCAGTACTGTGTGGTACTCTACAAGGGGCCATGTTGTCAGTGAGGCCGGGGAAGAGTGGACCTTCACAGCCTGGCTTGAGGGCCTGTGAGGAGCGGGTGACCCTGTGGGGTTTGACATGACAGGCGCCACTCCACTATCTCTTTACCTGTAAACCGTCATGTGAGTACTTACGTGTACAGCACGTACGTATGTATGTGTACAGCATGCACATTGTGACATTCCAATGCATTCTGCCCCCAAATCAGAATCAGGAAATTACTTTATGCTCCTACAAGGTTCTGGCAAAGTCTCATTCAGGGCAGCTTCACACCAGAGGATGACGTACAGTACAAGCCAGAAGCAAGTCTGCAAGGAGCCATGAGCTGGCGCTGCGTTTCAAGAAAGCATCAAGGACAGCCTTACCTATGTTCATGACCTGAGACTGAAGCATCTGTCTCTGGCCAGGCTGGCTGCTGGCTCGCATGGGGATGCTGGCTGTTGGGTTCCGGATCATTCCTCCTTGGATGGGCCGGTTCATGGCACCAGTAGTTGCAGCACAGGTGACTCTCACAGCCGAGCTCTGTGGTGCCCATTCCCCAGAAGGCATGGCGGGCCGAGAAGTGCTACTGCCAATCATCCCTGTATGCAAGGCAGAGGAGGCTGAGGGATGCAGACATCGAAGGCAGCGCGTGAACAAACCCCAGACCTACCTACCCACTAAGACTTGAACCATGACTGGAAACTGCCGTCGCCCAACAGCTGACACCCTCCCTGGGGCAGATGTGGGCCCTGGGCTAAGAAGGAAGGATTGGCAGCTACTGCAGCTTTCATGACGCGAGTCTGCCGCTCTGCGTGGTTCACAAGAGCTGTTACACTGCTCCCATATGTACTTAGCACAGGTGCTGTGGCAAGTGGATGACCCCAACTTCCTTCCTCAGGAAGTGAATCACATTAGCTGACACACACGCCAGAGCCTCACTTTCCAGAAAGGAGGTGAGTGGAGGAGGACCAGGGAAGCACCCACAACCAATCCCACAATTGCCAGCTCCAGGCAGGGACATCCCATAAAACCTACGGAAGGGTTAAACATCCTCACATCTTCTCAGTTTGCCACAGCTTCCTCAACTTCTGGAGACATGCGGGCATGTTCACCATATGACCACTAAGCTAGGCTGTCATGCCACAGGCGTACTTCTGCGTGCACCGGACACTTCAGCATCAAGTTCCATTGAAAAAGAATTGGGTGAGCTTCAAAGTTTACCGAGGGCAGCCTTGAAGCAGGGGAACCTGCTAAGACCTTCTGGACACAGCCTTTGAGGCTGAGGGGATTCCAGGCGCCTGGACCTCTGCATTCCTGACAGCAGATGCAGAATGGGGTAGGGCAGGTGTGAGCTCTCACCATCATGAAGCAGGATTCAGGGTCTGTTTTATTAACAGTCTAGGCCCTGGATGTTGGCAACGGCCAAGCACTGGCTAAGATTTGCTGAAGGGGAAGCCTTCAAATATATGGCTTGTTTTCATTCACTTTGTTTGGGTTAAGCAATCACAAATTTGGTATAACGAACATGTGGACAGAACGTGGGCTTTGCTCACTTGTAACACATGGGATGTACTGGGACGATGAGTGAAACTATGACAATATTAACTCATATAAAGCCACATTATATTGTATTTGATCTATACAAAGATATTATGGGAGAAAAGGCAGTTTGCTTTTCAAAATAATCTACTATGTAAATAGCATAACGAGATTATATAGATAGTAGGAGGGTGAAATTATCTGTAACTCAACAATATTAGTGAAATGAGAATGGGTGTTATTCCCTTGGGTATTTGCTTTTAGAAGCAGAGGGAGCCCATCGTGTGACCATTACAGCCCGGGCACCAGCCGGTCCAGCGATGGCCCGCTTAGGTAAGCCCATCCTCGTGGTCCTAGGGTCCTACATAAGACTCCCCAACACCACAGAGAAGTCTTATTCACCCCCAGTGAATCATCAGCCACCTTTCTCTAAGAAATTATAGCTCAACAGTATTTCTACAAATCAGTGTTTAAGAGTGACAAAGTGAACGTGGCAAAGTTTTTATGAATGGATAATTTAATGGTGTAGTCAGTGCGTGGCACATGAGCAAACACTCGATATTCGTTGAATCAATAAACCGATACAGTACAGCGCATGCTTCCCATGAACTGTAACTCAGAAATAGGAAATATTTCCCCTTAAATAGAACTTTGATCTTCAGTTAACTAAAATGGCAATGTACAGGGATTACAGACTGATCTAAAAATAGCAAGAATTAAAACACCCACAACTTTTTACAATATCTACTTATTTCTATGCCCAAATCTTAACATGTCATTGAGACAAAGGAAGAAAAGTATAAATTATGAGCAGCCTTCATTAGGGAAGCCAGCATCCTTCTAGATTGATAACAAATGCTATTCTGAGGCACTGGGTGCTCAGACCTGAATTCTAAGGCAGCTGTGGCAGAAGCAGCGATCCCTTAGGAAATGCCTGGAGGATGTGGTGGACGCTGTAAAACTATAGCAGGTCAATGTCCAGCTAGATTACAGGCAGCTTCTCAAATCTCCAAGCAGCCTCCCTAATTGGAGCTGGAGATTTTTTCTGGGCTGGTCACACTGCTATGTAAACTCGTTGTTGTTGTGATCATTTTGGAATGGGCTATGCTATGGTCTCAAACCCATGTGCTCACTTAATTCTGTCCTGACCCGGAGCTATTAAAGTGCATTAAAAGTTAGGAAAAGCAGAAGGCAAAAGCCAATAAAACAAAGCAAAACACACAAAGATCTACGGCTCAAGTCATCCTCCAGCCTCAGGTTCCTGAATAGCTAAGACTACAGCGAAAATGCAGTAAGATAGGCAAAAAAGACCTTCACTATTAAACAGGACCTAGAATTGTGAAACACTGGTGGAGGTTTAAACTTCCATTCTGAAATGTTCCAAAGGCACCAGTGCATGTTTTGGGCATCAGCAGAATTTCACTGGATGCTGACAAACTCCAGTTATTTTACATAAACATTTACACACACACACACACACACCTTCCATATTCAGACCAATAGCTGGGATGGAAATAAGTCAGTTTAGTCAAGAAGATTAGTGTCCAGAAACCTCATCGAAGGATGACCTGGGCAGCTTGCTGGAGCGGCTCCCCACAGGCCACGCTCAGAGAATTTGTAGGGTCTCTGTACTTTCACAGATGGCTTGCTTCTAGCCAGTCTCTTGCTAGAAGTTCTACTACCCTGATGTGCATGAACACACCGTGAAATTACACAACCCACCAACAAGCAGCAGTGGCGTGAGCCCTTACCTGTGCTATTGTTCCCTACGTTTCCTTGGCTTCCTAGCATCCCTTGGTTACCCATCATTCCTGGCTGAGGGATCACTGAGTAGGGACTACTGTTTCTGATTGGTGGGAAAGGTCCAGCACCAGTTGGGCTTTGCAATGTGATGTCAATGGGTAAGTTCTGGTTTGGCAATAACCTGCCCAGTTGCCCTGGTCGTGGGTTATTAAAAGCTAAGGAGAAAACAAATGAAAATTGAAGGTTAATGAAGGACAATGAAAAAAGAATATTAATAATAGTAGTGTTCGGGGGAAAATTTCACCTGTACAGTGACAAATGGTGTACACTAGGGACCAACTACCATACGAAAGACAAGTCACATACAGAAAGCACATGCAGCGTCCCTGTGACATAGCATCGGACTCTTGATGGCCTTATGAAAAGGGATGTAAAGCACACACCAGCAGGTTTGATACCGAAAGTTTTGCTATACAAAGCATTAATATGATATTGCTCATGTTATATTACTCAGACTTTAACACAGTGGGCCTTTTCTTTTTCTCATTATTACATGCACCAACAAAGCTGTACACATATGGTTTGGATGTTAGAATATTATTTCATAACTGGGCTTCCAAGGTTTAGAATGAAGTTAGATATGGTTATTCTCATTAAAGTTAAAATCTTTGATATGCATGGTGTTGCCCAAAGCAATAGTTCATTAAAGGTTATCACTATCAGGATGGCTTCTTTAGACTCTGGGCACATATTTAGATTTGAAATGACCTTTGTGGTTACAAGAATTGACTGGGTCCTGAGCAGTAATCTAGTGTCAAGTAGATGACCTGTAATTTTATAACAATGTTACTGAAACACTCAAATATTATATATCATAATTCACAGAGCTAATTTTTGTTTTAATTTTACAAACACAGACTGCAGTGGTACAGGTGGATGGGGGGGGGGCTCGTAATCTGTGGTAGAAACAACACATCCAGGGAAGCTAGGGCCGGGAATGGGCAGCACTGTGTTTCCAGCAGGGAAGACGTTGTCTTTCTGTAAATCATGGGTGTGCTATAGAAAAGTTTAAAATAAGATCCCCAAACGACAGAGCAAGGCATTTGGCTGTGAGCAGCCTTTTCATGAACAACAATTAAATGTTGAAAGTAGGCTGGGCTTTCGCTGTGCACTCTGGAGGCAGAGGTAGGAAGATCTCTGTGAGTTTGAAGCCAGCCTGGTCTATGAGACCTCCAAAACAATACGGAGAAATCCTGTCTTGAAAAACAAACAAAACAAAACAACATAAACCTTGAAAATAATCTAATTTCTTTTTTTGAGACAGGGTCTTGCTATGTAGCTCAGGTTGGCCCTGAACTCAGCACCCTCCTGCCTTAGGCATGCAGGACCAGAATCCGTTCTGAACACTGACAGACTAGGACAGCAGATGGTGCTGTTTTACCACAAAAAACTCCAAGGAACTAAACCGAGGCAGGCTTTAATAATTTGTTTCTGACAGGGATTAAATGGGAAATTTCTGAGCAAAACCGGTAACAGCGTATACTCACTGCTCTGTGACATTCGAAGCGCTGTTTTCTGGGCTCCAACAGGTGTAACAGGACTGCTGTCCACAGCGGTGAGTTGCATGAGGTCATTGATGATGGCTTGCTTGTCAACTGACCCAGCAGGGGCTCCTGGCCTTGTGTCTGGGAAAAGCTGTGGTAACTGACTATTTTGCAAATCATCCAGAATCTCTTCCAAGTTGTCCAGCTCGCTGCCAGGCTGCAGTTAACAGACAGAAGTACATGTCCAGGCCCATGCTGCCAGTGGGTATCCCAAACCCTCCACTGGCAGCCCCAGACCTGACCATCACAAGGCACCCCCACTCCGCCAAGAGACAAAATGTCAAGCTCACCAATGAACCAACCATCTTTCATAGCTGAATCTACCAAGCACTGTCATATACTCTCAGAGCCCTGACGCCTTCAGCTGGAAACCAGGTACAGCTGAATTTGAAAGAAAGTCGTTTCCCACCTCGTTACTCACTGGCAGATTACATATTCCCTTTATTGTATACAAACCATGTCATTAATTATGAGTATGTACATCGCCTATTACTTATAGTTGGACTATGACTTACAATTCGGATTTAGGTTTGATGGTTAAGTTTTCCAAAGAAACAGCAGCAAGCTTTTGAAAATGTGGTTCACATAACAGGATATCAACCCCCCCCCCCCCCCCCGTGGGATGGTGGTGTAACACACACTTAAGTCACTCGTAATAGCGAAGTCTTGCTTTTTCAATTTGAATTTTGATTTTTGTCTGCTTCTTTTTTAGGTTTTGAATGGCAGGGGTTTTCTCACTAACCCAGCTGATATACAGAAGAAGCTGCTGTTGACCAAACACAGCACTTATCCACTGGATTTCACAGACGGTACATGATTCTTAGAGCTCCTCATCCCCTTCTTGAATCCAATTCCCATTTCCAATATTGATCAATGTTAGTATAGCCATTATTTTATCTGACTACTTCTTCTAAGACACGAAAACGACTTCATAGGCATTCTTTTAAGTAGAACCCATCAGGGTGCTAGCACTTAAAATCATGGACCGCATTTACACAGGAAAGGGGCTGTGTGATCATGCCTGAATCCCAACACCTGAGGCTGAAGTCAGCCTCGGCTACATAGTGAGCTACAGGCCACCCTGGGCTAAAGTGAGATTGTTTCAAAGCTGAAAAATAAATAAACAAATCAACCAAAACCCGGGAGTCCATCTGACGCCGCCACGCACTTAATTCTAGGGGAGTGGCTTACGTACAAACCCGGCATCTATCTACAGGAACATCTTTGAGGCAAGCTCTCCTGTATGAGGCTCAGCTTTACCTGAACTTGTGATCTCCCTGCCTTGGCCTCCTGAGCACTGGGACTGTGGGAATGTGCCCGTGTAGTCTACATCTTGCCAGTAAAACAAAAATTACCCTTATTTTTGTGTGTGAAGGTCAGAGGGCCAAGCGTGGGAGCGGAGGGAGCAGATTCTCTCCTTCCCATGTGGGTCCCGGGCGTGGAACTCAGGCATCAGATGGGAAGGCAAATGCCTTTATCACCTTTATCAGCCGAGCCGTCTTGCTGGTCCTGGGATATCTTTTGGCTAGACACATGTCGAATTAGGAAGCTTCTGGCAGAAGTGACATTTATTTGATTCTACATAGAGACAGCTGCTTAAGCAATGAAATTAGCAGCGTGTTTCCCAGGGAATTCCTTGTGTACTGTTAGCACAGCTAGGAGACCATTTTTGTGCCACCCATTTCCAATAGGAAGATGAGCTCTTTCTATGGGAGAGGTACAGGCAGACAGGCAGGTCATGTGACCCTGACAGCTAGCTCCTGAGGAAGGGACACAGTCCAGTTTTTCCCTCAGAGTGGCAGGGTTCCTTTGTTGCAGGTCCTTCCCCTATTGGCAGTGATGCCTACAGGGCGGCCGGCACTCAATCAACAAGATGAATTCCTTTCATCATTAAAGTACAGCAGAAATTCCTACAACTTCCACTGATTTCTCAGATGAGGGCAAGGCTCTAACTAACGAGACATCTCTTGTTTGAAGCAGTATCTATGGATGCCTTTCCCTGGGAACTGTGAAAGCCCAGGGTATGGGCGAGGGAGAGGGCTGACATAAGTGAGTGATAAACTTCCTCTGAAAACACTTGGCAGATTGCCCCGATGAGAATTATGCAAAACAGGCTCAGGTAAACAAAAGTACAAGTATACGCGTTTGTTTTCTTAACAAACACACTTGAATTCCCCCATCTGAGCTATGACAGGATGTTTTAGGATGTTTTCCCTGTTGCACTACCTAGGGCTAACCTATTTTCCTTTTTGTATTCTCTCCTTCCACACAAACTTAACTGTAACCCTTAAACAGAATGAGAACTTTGTTTTGTTTTGTTTTTTGAGACAGAGGTCATTATGTAGCCCAGGCTGGCCTTGAACTTGCAATGGTTTTTACAAAGAGTTCTAGTAACCATGGGGCTCAGCTTCTCTCTCTCTCTCTCTCTGTTTTTTCAAGACAGGGTTTCTCTGTGTAACAGTCCTGGCTGTCTTGGAACTTGTAGACCAGGCTGTTCTTGAAGTCATGGAGATCTGAGTGCTGGGATTTAAAGGCGTACCCCACCACTGCCCAGCATAAAATCATTTTTGTTTCTACTACCTGACTATAATTTGTTGCTGTCATGAACTAGGTTGGAAACATCTGTGTTTTCCACTGTTCTATGTAGGTCTGCCTGTCTTGGAACTCTCTCTATAGACCAGGCTTCCTGCTTCTACCTCCAGAGTGCTGGGATTAAAGGTATATGCACCATCACACCTGGCCATTGTTCTTTTTTTGAAATCTATTTCTGTGTACTATTATAAGTATACGTAATTATTAAGACACATCTGAGTAACTAAAATCCATTTATTTTGAAAAAAATAATAATTTGAGACACGGTCTCATGCAGCCCAGTGTTGTCTTCAACTCTCATGTTGTGGAGACTGGCTTTTAATTCTTGATCCCCATTCCCCAAGTGCTGGGATTACAGATATATGGAAAATGCCCAGGTCAAATAACTTATAATTAAAAAATTTCACATCCATGATATATGTTTGTATTCATGCAGTACTGGGGACCAAAACATGTTTGTGTGATATGAGCTCACCCCTAAGCTTTATTTTTTAAAAGACATATTAAAGTTAAACCGACTTTCAAGTTTTGATCTTTCCCATGAGTTCACCAAGCATCTGTGTGACTGGAGGTGTAAGTCAGTGGTAAAGCTTGTACAAGAGGCCTGGGTTCAATTTCCAACAAAAGGGAGGCGGGAGGGAATAACAGTAGCATAGCTCTGACTAGAAACAACACATTTGAGAACCCTGTGGGGTTTTTCTTGTGGTTCATATGAACTGTCCTGGTCATGACTCTGGACACTATCTGAATTCATTTAGGTTAACATTTCAAGTCGCACCATGAGCATTTAGAGACATTGCTTTACGTGAGTTTTTACTCCTCGTCAATAGCTGGAATATGCATTTAACATTACTTTGTTGTCAGCTGAATTTCTTTCCTCCTGAGACGAGGTTGACCCTGAATTTACACTCCCCCTGTCTCAGCTATGGGAGTTCTGGGATTACAGAAGTATACCACCATGTCCGGCTGTCGGCTTACTTTAAATATTCTTAGAGGAGATAGATTTCGGAGTATCCGTAGGCCTTGGTAGCTTGATTTTAGCACTTCCTTCAGTATTCAAGGAAGTGCAGAAGGGCTCAAATGTGATAACCTGATGTTTCCAAGAGAAAAACGGGTCTACCGTTTTGCAGTTTGTATCTCACAGAAGTTCTTTTAGCCCCTATCCACTTTGTTAGGCACATTTTCTTTGCAAGACAAAGAGATAAATGCCTTCCAGACACTTCGAAGTTTCGTTCAGGCATCTATTTGAATGCTCAAATTAGCCACATCAATTTGGGTAGTTAGTTTCAACTATTTCTGGCAGATAGTGAGTCAGAAAGATTTTTATAAAAGTTCTGCAAAATGACAAATAGACTTGATTTCTTTAACTTTTCATTTTCTGGTTTTATGATTTTTTTTTTCATGTGTCAAGTCAACTTGTTCTCAAAGGTAATAAAGGAACACATGATTTACTGACATAAGCACTCTCATAAATTACAAAATACCTTTTGAAAATATTTTATATTAAAAAATACAGTATTATGCCATTTGCTTAGGACAGTACTGTAAGGAATTCTACTGTATCTGGAGGGCAATTCCCTGGGCACACCCCCAGTTTAAAATGCAGTTTGCCTTTCTAATGGAGTAAGCACCAGACACTGCTCCCCAGTGTGAGCAGAGCATAGGGAAGAACACAGGAGTCAAGGGGAGGCTTGGCTGAGTACCAGCCAGGCTCCATTGTGTAAATAAGCACATGACTTAGAGCAGTAAACACGCTGGAAATGTTTCTGTCAGTTTCTGTTTCCTGTTTGCTAGGAAATGTGGTAGAGATGTCTTGTTTAAATGCTCTCCCCAGGAAAAGTATGCTGCTATTTTAGGTATAATACGCATCACCAAAGTACTTCCTGACCTTAAAAAGCTAGTAATACATTAAACACACGCTCAGTTCATTTTTTTTTTTTTTTTTTTTTTTTTTTTTTGAGTCAAAATAACAAGACAGTCAATGGCAATCCAGGCACAGGTTCTGTTTTTTGCTTACTCAGTAATTACTGTATTCGTCTGAAAGATTGTGGGCAGCAGGTGGCGGTCCTCCTCAGGGAACGCGGAGGGAGAGCAGGAGGGGAGGGAATCATTGTTGTTTTTCTCACGCTAACTTTGATCTACATTTAGGTACCGCACACTTCCTGTGGCAACTTTTCTCGCTGCCATGTTTTTGTCGCTGAAATGACCCCATGAGGCTGTGCTTTAGAGAGGCTGTACTTTGGGAGAGAGTAGCTTGGAGGTGAGTGAGCAAGGGGGAAGATCCCATTAAGGAAAAAACAATTCCTGTCTCTGTGTGTAATGTGCCTGTGGACCCTGCTTTTATTCATACAAACAACAGGTTTATACTCACTACACTAGTCTTTGTTTCTCAGATAATTTTGATTAGACAATTATTTCTCACAAATAAAAATCTCAAAAACAAACAAACAAACAGACAGACAACAAAAGACCCCCAAACTCCAAAACCTTTCTTGCCTGACATTAGTGAAACCATATGCACAAAGTAATGAATGACAAATAGCGGTCCGTCTCCTGTCTCTAGGGTCTGAGGCCTGAGACAGGAAGTAATTCTGTTTGTGGAGGGAGGGGCCAGCGGTGTTCCACACTGAGTTTTGGTGGACGTGCTGAGTCTCGACTCTGCCCTCCAGTGTGTTAAGACACCCAAGTGAGGTTATCTGTGCCTGCCACTCTGAACCGCCACTGCCTCTGTGCTATCGACTCCAGGAAATCTCAAAAGATGAAATCATAGGTGTCAATAAGGCTTGCCACTTCACGTCGCCCAACACATTGCACCTCGGTCCCCCAGCTCAGTTTCAGGGCATTAGAAAATACCTGCTGCACAGAACCTAACTTTTAGGATTCATCACTAATAATGTAATTGTAGTCTGCTTCAGCCATCTACATCAAAGTGAAAGAAATCAGAGGCCAGAACCTGCTTGGCTGGCAGGGACCGGCTTGAAGAGCATATGGCCTTTGCCATTCCACATCCAGGCTCTGAGGACTCATAGGCACAGCCTGGGATGAGGGGACACACTACCTTCTGACTGCAAGGGCAAACTGTAGGCCGTTTTAAGCGGACAGGCCCTTGTGACTTCCTCACTGCTTAACCAATCATGAGTCTGCTAGATAGGGCATGTCCAGGGACTGGGGAAGGCTAGGTTGGGTCACTAACCTCCAGTCAGTCAGGGATTCCACCATTACAGTTCCAATAACCCATCACTTGTTTTTAAGTGACAAAGATCAATGGTTTGCAGGCTCACTGTGGACCATTCTTACCACTGAGTACTGTTTAGAATGGACAGGGGATTAAAGTTTCAATGAAAACATCCCAGGCATCTGTTGTACAAGGTGGTGGAAGGAAACAGTAACAAATGTATACATAAGTATTTGTATCACAAAAATGACCGGCACAAGTATACATAAGTATTTGTATCACAAAAATGACCGGCACACAAGGTGACATGTTAATCAGTCTGATGTCGGTATTCTACAGTAGATCATAGTGTATATTATGAGGACTGCTTTTTGTACAACAACAACACAACAACAAAAAAGATGATTCTGAACATTTCGTTCGGTACCCTGGATTGTTTTTAAGATGTTAACTGTTGAGAGATGTGCAGGAGAGAAAGCAATCCATTATTCTGGTTTTGAATTGACACATAATGGCTTTGGTAACTTTCTCTTCCCATCCATTTTCTCTTACGTATTTTTTAACCAATGGTCAATGAGATTCTTCTGTATTACTCAGAAGTGTTGCGGAGGGATCTGTACTGGATATGAGAAGCAGCTAAATTCTGATCACAGTAAGAGAGAGTAAAAACACTTGGGTCTGCTCTAACAAAGCCCAGAACTAAGAAAGTGACTGCCACCAATTTAGGGTTCAGCTATCTACTACCATCAGCCAGCAGTTCACCCTACCTACCCCTGTTAATGACCTATGACCTAAGAATGAATTTACCTTGATCACAGCAAGAACAGCGATACTCCTCACTCCCCCCAGATCTAAAGAATACTTTGCTCCCATCACAACTGTTTACTCTAGGGTCTGTAGGTGAAACTGTACTAGAGCGCAACCACGCTTACTTCTTCAGTGTCCACAGCTGCTGGGCCTACAGCGGCAGGCCCCAATGTCAGAGAGGCAAGCTACATGTCTTCTGAACCCTTGCCTGTCACTCTTTGCCAGGGGGATTGTGCAGAACAGTTTCATGCAAGTTAACTGTTACAAGATACGTGTCACAAACAAAAGCACCCTCTTTACCCTTGGAGAAAGTCTGATACACACAGATGCGCGCTCCCGGGAGAGGACATCAGCAAACTCACCTGGTCACTGGGCTCAAAGCTCATCTCCTCCTTCACAGTTTTCATAGCTATCAGTTTCGTGTTACTGGCAGGCTCTGCCTTACTGTCCAGCCGCTCAAGTTTGGGGGCTATTTCCGGCAAGCCAATGTCTTTAGTATCGTCTTTATCGAGCAAATAGCGAAGTAGTGCATTCTCTTTCTTCTTGGGGCTGGCTGGCTCTGGTTTGACAGTCACTTCTGACCCCGCAGCTGCGCTGCTCGACTCCTGGCTCAGCTCTTTGCCCGTGGCTTCTGCTGTCAGCCTGGCCAAGTCCACAGGGGAACTGCTGTCCTGTAAGAGTCTGTGCAAAATCTTATGCTTCTCCTTGAGCGAGGTGCCGTGCGTGGACCCGGGCCCAGGCAAGCTACCTGCAGAGTCCTTGCTTGTGTCTGACAAGGAGCTGGGCAGGGGTGAAGGCTCCATCTGGTCGGACTTGGTGGTCAGCAGCTGGAGGAGTTTGGTCTGCCCTTTGCTGTCGTGCAGCCGGTTGTGTCCCTCGGCCCTGTCCCCGCTGGCCGCCTGGGGCATGCTGGAATCAGTGGGTTCCTTTTGTTCTCCAGGATGGCAGCTGGGCTCTGCTTGTCCAGTTGTACCTTCCGATGGCTCCCCATAAAGTCCAAAACAGTCTTTGGAGTCCAAGCTTCCCATCTTGCTGAGTGGGGGAGGATTCATATTAACTGGGGAGTTTTGCAAATTGCCCATTTTTAGGTCCGGTGAAGCCAACGATGACCCTAATGAGACCCCATGGCCCTCGCTGAGGGCTTGCAGTGCATTGAGGGAACTGTTGGTATAACTATGGCTATTTCCTGTGCTGCTGCAAACTCCCACAGGGGAATGCAAGCTTCCTGCAGGGGAATACTGACTGGGTGGGATACGAGGGCTGCCAGCCACGCCGGGGCTCATGCGATGCCTTGGTGAGAGCATGGAGGTGGGTTGCCCTGGGTTCATGCCGGGGCTGTTTTGTGAGGGACTGTTCATTTTGAGTGCATAGTTACTACCCTGAGGAGTGGCTGCTTGCATGCCTGATACATGGTTCATGCCCCCAGAACCACCAAACCTGCCCATAGGCATGCCCATCTGTTCCTTTGGGCCGTTCATGGGAAAATTTATATTGCTACTGAGGGTCATGTCCTGACCTGCGTTCCCACTGCACATGGCCTGATGGGCAGGACTGCTAGAGCTAATTGGATTCAATGGCTTCCCCATGGCTTGTCCAGTCAGATCCGGGTTCATCACGCATACGCTCTGCTCTCTGTATAACAAGGACAGAAACATATATAAGATAAAAGGAAAAATACCCAGCAAATTGTTATTAATTTAAAAGATGGCAGGGTCTCTTCTCTTTACAAAAGCAGACTACATCTAAGGGATAGGCAAGACTTGGATGAAAGCACCTGCACAATTAGACTAGACTGAACAGGTACAGTTTGGACCAAGAGATGTTTTCAGGCAACTCATCAAGATGCCTGTGGTTTATTAAGGGGGGGGGGAGTTAAATTCGACTACTTCCATATTGAAATTTCAGTAAGTTAATAGGACATTATGAATATCATTCATGAGCAACTGAGAGCTTGTACAACCTTAATGACATGACCCAAGTAAGTATTACTTAATTCAGCCATTTGCCACAAATTCCAGCTCCGGGCAGTGAGCACATCTGTATGTCCAGAGAGTCTTAGCGATGTCACATGGGTCAGGCCTTAGTAGGGAAAACCTTGCCCTGAGCTGTTAAGAGGTGGCCGGGTCCAGAGGCAGTAGAGCTACTCTGGTGGTTATTAGTTGCAGATTCCCACTCCGTTCTCCAAACACTGTAGGCCAGAGGTTGAAGGAGGTGCCCTGGTGGGGTTCTAGGGTGGCACCGTTTGTGATGATTTTTATCTGCCCCCCCCTTCCAGAAAATTCCAATCCATCTCCCTGACCGATGCTTACAAGCAGGGTCTGTTTCAGTCTTCACAGTCGCTTATGAGTTACCAAACATGTCCACCAGCTGTCAAACACCAGCTTCAGCCAGGGAGAGGGGGTGAAATGTGCTGTCTCTATCATCATTTTGCAAACAGTTTCAATCTGAGGTCAGACTTACTAACAGCTGGAAACTATGGCTGCCTGACTTTTTTTTATTCCTGTACTAGAAAGCAAAATCATTGAGAAATGCAGTAAAACGGGACTCTTCTAGCACAGCAACCACATATATATCCTGGTGGCAACTCACAAAGTCCCACCCAGCATATACATAAACAGCTACAGAATCTGAAATTCAATCATTTTCCCAAACGAGTATCTTAAACAATATGTGCTATGACATCTAATTTAAAATCAACATTCAAATTTCTTTCTCTTGTTATAGAAATGGTTGCTGCCACCCAATTTGAAGTCTAATGTCAGGAAATTTAAACCCAAGGACAAAAATCAGAACTCATCTAATTATATACATTTAAGCACACAGCAGTAAAAATCTTAGTACTGGCTTTGATTTTCCTGCTCACACTTCTGCTGTCCCTGGGAATTTCCCTTCTTGAGTCTAACAGGAGGGTAAAGCCAAGCCCTGCATTCTTTTTATGTGAGACAGGGTCTTTCTTGTATACATGGCTGTCCTAGAGCTTGCTACATAGACCAGGCTGGCCTGGAGATCCAGATGTCTCTGCCTCCCAAGTACCGGAATTAAAGGCATGGCTAAATCCCTATGTTCAGGACCTGACTTTGCTGGTCCAATGAGGTGGTTCCCAGGCAAGAGTTAACAGCAATCTCATTTACAGTTTGTAACAACATAGTAAAAGGACAGGTCTGTGGAAAGGCTGTGTGGTGGCATTTTCTTCTTGCAGCATGGCTCCCGCTGGGGAAGGGAGTGAGGCTTAGTGCATGATTACCTGTGGAGCATGTGTAAGGATATTACAAGCTGAGGCTCGTTCGTCGTCTGAGAACGGATGAGTTTGCTTTTCGTTTGTGCAGCAACAAGAGTACCGTCGGACAAAGAAAAACGGTATATTTGACTGAATGCCAATCCTTGTCTCAGAACTGCAGGCACAAAGGGAGACAGAAAGCATGTTTAGAAAAGAAGTAAAAAAGAAAGGAAAAGTCAGGAACGTGGAGCAGGGGAGGGCTGTCAAGACGTTTCCTACCAGCATGTACAAAGGCTACAAGTCATAAGACATCATGATATTAAAACGTCCATTCTACAAGCACATTTAATTTTCACTCAAAATACCAATAAACAATGGCTTTTTCTTTTTCCTTCCTCTTTTTTCATATGACAAAGAATAACAGCTTGAAAACACAAACTGCCCTTTATTTTTTAAGATTTGTTTTCATGCCAGGCTGTGGTGGCGCACGCCTTTAGTCCCAGCACTCGGGAGGCGGAGGCAGGGGAATCTCTGTGGGTTTGAGGCCAGCCTGGTCTACAGCTAGGGCTCTCACACAGAGAAACCCTGTTTCGAAACAACACAACAAAACACCTGTTTTTATTTTTACCTTTAACTTTTATTTTATGTGTTTGAGTACTTTGGAGTCCCAGGCTGCTGCGAGCCATCACATAGGTACTGGAACCGAACCTGGGTCCTCTGCGAGGGCAGCCTGTACTCTCAACCTGTACAGGGAACCAGTTACTGTTCTGTATGTGTGGAAACGGCATGTATCTACAGGTAGCAGAGATACAACCGTGCAAAGGACCCATTCTCACTGGGTCATAATTTAAATTTCATCTGATCTTGGCTGTGATCTCTAAAGATTTCCCATTTCCATTTATTTTGTCTTTATGCTAAGGAGCAGTGTGTGAGCATACTGAATCATTCGGGATGCTCCCAAACTCAAAGAAAACCTTCTAGGTGGAAACTTCTGGTATTATTATCTGTTTCTTTTAAAAAAAATTATTATTTATATATTCGTTTTTGTGTGAGTATGTATGAGTGTATACATATGGTGCTTAACGCCTGTGTGTGCCTAGAAAGCCCGAGCAACCCTGCCTCACCTTCCACAGTGTGAGCATACAGCCATACTTACCTGGCTTTTTGTATGAATTCTTGGGGATCTGAACTCCGTCCTCATGACGGAGTTACCCACTGAGCTATTTCCCTGGGCTCTGGCACTACCCACTTTGTATGACGAAGTGCAGTTTCCTTCCAGTGGGTTTTCTCTATACCTGGAACAGTACCTGGTATACCCACGTAAACTCTCTTGCGAGGGAATTAAAGGCAGGGCATTCAGGATCCAGGGGCACTGAACATGCTGGCCAAGGGGCACTCTTTAATTTCTGCTTTTACTCTAAGCTATTATCTGGTGAAATGGTAGGTTAAATGCTGATTTCTGACAAATGTACTATCTATATTTGCCCTTATTGCAACAGTAAGAACAACATCGAAAGGTACACAATGTTGGATTATCTGCTTAATTTAAGAAATTAGGGGAATAAGATACAGCTGTGGCAAGCAAATGGCAGCAGGAATACATATACCCTGTCTGTGCCTCTTCATTAAGTGGCCTCAAAAGCAGAAAGCTTCAATACCCAAACCTTCTGCCTTAAGAAGCCAAGGTCACAGATGCACACTAAATGGATGACAAACAACAGTTCCATTTCCCACAAATGAGTTAGATTAGAACTGGCCATGCGGAGGTCTGAGATGCCGTGCTCTGCCACGAGTCCCTCACGTGCTGTGGGGCCCACGCTGACCAACTGCACGCTGGCCAGGCTTCCTTCCGCACTCAGCTCTTGTTAAAGCAGAACGATTCTGCTCTTTATTTGTTTGAAAGCTAACTAAAATGTGCTTGAGAAAAAGGACACAGCACGTGACTAGGCAGAGTGGGTCGTGGCTTGCACATGCCATCAGCCGATACTGTCCGAATGCTCAGGGGCTCGTCACTTCCCCCGCCTGGGTCTCCGTGGAGTAAGCAAGGGGAGGGCAGGGTCTCCCTCTCTGCTTGGAGTGGAGGCTGAAGGAATGACCAAGCTGGGGTGTACTGAAAGATGGCTGACGTCTATGACCCAGGGCAGATCAGGTTGCCTCTCTAGGCCTTCTGGAAACATCTGGAGTCTGCTGTCGGTACCTTGAAGGAGAGCTTGGGGTTTACTCATTCTGCACATTTCATTGTTGCGTGTTGCAGACGGCTCCTGTGCACTGCTCTGCTCCCTAGCTTATATGAACTTTGTTGTCATCATACATCTCGAAGTATGAGGGTTACAGAAAACGACACCACCCTCTTTTTGTCCATCTTTGTGACACTGACGCCTTTTGCTTCATTTCCTCAAGTAGCTTATCGGGCCAGGCAACACCAGCGCAGGCCATAGAAGCTCGGCGAGGCAGGCCTCAGGGCTCTGTTCTCGGAGGAACATCCCCACGGGAAGCAATTACAGAAAAAAACCTCCTAGAAAGCAACGCCGAGAGGGTTACCTTCATGATGGTGCCTCTTGGCGTAGGACAGAGACTCCCCTTCATGCTGCGTGTGGAACTTCTGAATGCACCGTCTCACCAGATCCTCCCAGCCTGGCTTCATGGCAGCTCTCATGGTGCTAGTGTCCAGAGACGTGATCTTGCCTAGGAGATAATGACGTTACAATCACGACGCCTATTTTCTAGAGAAACAACTGAAACTCAGGAATACACAAATGACTTCAGGGTCATTGCCTGAGTCTGTGGGCGATTCTCGGAGACTCCATGAACAATAACATGCATGGGCACCGAAGCTTTTCATGTAAAATGGACAGGGGATGCATATGCCCCCTGTCTTCCTCGGCACCTTTTACTTATTAAATTATTTATCCTTCTTATACAGTTCGTTCTAATTTCCAACACATTATCCGGCGTAGGCCTTGAAGTTAAGATTAAGAGTCTTTTTCTGCCTCGTCTCCTGGGTGTGGGATTGGTTTCAGGTGTGTGCAGTCATGCCTACCTTTCTTCAACCCCAATCCTTTAAATCACCTCTAATTAATAGCATATTAAGAACAATGATGGCATAGACACTTTAAAAAGTGGAATCATTTTGATCTGGGGCTGGCGGACCACTCACACAGACATGTAGAAATGGAAACCCTGCTGTTTGGAGCTGCCAGCGCAAATCCACCCCCAGGAAGAAGCCCAGCGAGGCAGCCTCTCCCTCTGTGAGCACTACACCCCAGCAGTAATGCCACCACACTCCTCAGCAATGCCGCCGCTCCCAGACAGTGCTTGTGTCCGGGTATCTAGGCCTTCTTTAATGACTGCTTTCATCTTCTTTGACAAGAGTTTACCTTGGAGGTCCTGGCGGGTGGTAAAGCTCTCAGATGACGGAAGGGCCGGTCTCTCCTTCATGGGGACTCTTCTCGCCACGCAAATCAAGCAGGACTGCAAGTCTTAAACAAGACACACTTGTTTATCATATTAACATTTTCACTCGTAGTGATCAAATCAAATCAAGTATCTATGGCAGCAGAACCTTGCAAGTCAGTGGGAGATACCATGGCCCTCTGCTTCTCTCGGGATGAACTAACTCTCTTATCTCGATGTAGTGGGAGGCAGCTGATAGGGTGAGCTGGAGCAGAGGGCGGATGCCAAAGGCACACAACACCGAACTAGAGAGTAAGTGACTGCAAAAGCCTCCCCGGTGAAGACAAGTGTGGGGTCTATTCTTGCTGAATCACTGGGTATAAAAGCAAAATTAATTTATAATAAAGTAAGCAGAGCAAAAGGAAAAGATAAAAGTAGATTCCCATAACTGTGGGTCAGGGGTTAGCTTCTTAGCTTCAGGTTCACTCTTAACAAATTGTGTAGGTACCCGAGGATGGCAAGATGAAACTTCAACAAGGAATACAAACGGCATCCGAATGCAGATTCGGGTCGTCAACTCCACCAGTCACTACCTTACGGTTCAGTGTCTTGGCACGGCGAGGTCCTCACACAGCCAGGGTTAACGTTTAACCTTGCCCCCAATTCATTCTGTTTTTTTAAAATTTTTATATGTGTAGATGCTTTGCCTACATGTATGCCTGTATAAAACTTACACACCTGGTGCTTGTGGTGTCCAGAGGCTGACAGAGCCCTGAAACTAGATTTATATTGGTGCTGAGGATGAGACGAGGGCCCTTGCAATCGCAGCCAGTGCTCTTAACTGTCGAACAATCTCTCTAGCCCCTCCGGCATGGGGGCCCACTTCCGGGGAGCACTGCCATGTTTTACACACCTTGTAGCATGGCCAGCACACTGTACGGCCCTTCCAAGTTAAAGAAAGGCGGTACAGAAGGAAAACGGCCTCTTCACATCTTATATCACGGGCTTGTAATTGCTCACCGTTAACTTAGCCGGTGTCTTTACATTAAAATGTCATGGAAGTGGGGTATGTGGCCCAGTGGTGAGCACTCCCTACAATGTGTAAGGCCGCGAGTTCAATGCTCAACATTGCAGCTACAATAAAAGGAAGAGGAAAAAAAAAAAAGGAAAAGATGCCCTTGTTGATGCTACACTTCAGGAGCAGACAGAACCTTACCCCTTTTTGCCTTTTAAGGTAAGAGTTTTGCTATGTCCCTCTGGTCAGCCTCAATCTCACAGTGATACTGGGTGCTAGAATTACTAGGGTCTTATCTAAGTGCTCTGCCTCAATATCCAGTTTTGTTAGTCGATTAATTTAAAGGGAGAGTCTGCTACACCTTAGGCTGGCATCAAACTTGCTGTGTGTGGACAAGGACGACCTTGACTTCTGACTCATCTATCTCATGAGTGCTAGGGTTACAAGGGTACATGACAATGCCTGATTTTACGTGGTTTGTGCGTGCCTGACAAGCACTTTCCGAAGAGGTACATCCTTACCCACAATCCACATGTTCTCATCTCTAGTACAGGATAGTGAGCTGACACAGCTGTACCTCACACGCCTGTCAAATATCATGGCTGAGTCTTTTTTCTCATATTGAACGAACACAGTGAAACCATCTGATGGCCACACCCAAACATAGCTAATTCTGAGATACCATGTGTCTTCTATAATAGCTCTTCACAATCCCTTTCTGATAAAGTTTAAAATTTAAAAGGTTTACGCATTTTAAGTAAGAAGTACTAAGCTAATACTCAGTGGCAACTACAGTTCAGCAATAGTCCTAAGTCCGGTGTGTATGTGCGTGTGTGCACACATGCTGAGAACTGAGCCCAGCACTTCACACATGTCAGGGAAGCACTCCACCCCGAGCTACCTTCCTCTCCATTCTGTAGTAACCTCTGATACCCTCCCTGGCAATTGCACTTAATAAATTGGTAATAAATAAAAGAGAAGCAGAGCTTTCCTTGCACCGGAGCCAAAGCTTGTTCACTTCTGTTACCCCAGAGTGCGTCCTGCAGCAACGTCGTTTCCTACCGAGGGACACTCGATGATGCCTCAGCATCTCGGCATGGGGAGCAGCCCGGTAAACTCGTGCAATGCCCACTCCTGTGTCTCTGTACTCTATTATACCGCTTTGAAGACTTGGTGTCACAGATAAGTTTCACCGAAGCCATCCCTCCCTGGACAGTCTATGGAAAATGCTGCTTGGAGACATGCACATTCCTCTGGGGCTGTGGCGTAAGATTTCCACGATGTGTTCAAAGTAACCAGGATCCCCTAAGCGGTCACTGTCAGAGCCGCACAACTGCCACGGTCACCAGGCACAGGTTGTGTTCCTGCAGTTTCAAATGTCGCTCTCCTGTGAATGCTGGCTACCATGCTGGACACGGAGATGTGTCCCTTTTATCACCACAGAACATTTTCAAGTTGAGACATAGCTTTGAGGTCCAATGCTTGCTTAGCCTGCACAAGTTCACCCCCCGCCCAGTGTGATAGAGGAAAACCCCGAACTACACAAATGGTCAGAATGGACAGAATCAAGGAGCTGCTCCACACCCTGCAACTCTGATTACTACGGCTGTGACCAGACACATTCGCTCGCTCCCAGGGTCTGTCCTACCTTCTCCTTCTTCCTTGATGGACTTTGGCTGAGACACAGCAAAGCACTGCATAGCTTCATACTTCTGATGTGCATCCTGGCTATCATGGCCTTCCTCTTCTGAATCAGGCAAAGGCTTTACCAGCATCCGGCAGTTGAAGGTATGGCTGTTCCGCCTGGGAGGTTCACCAGACCAAGACCCCCCATTCACTGCAAGGCAAAGGGGAGCCTCAGTTCCAAGGAAACAATGGGTTGGGGTGGCTGAATCACTAAAGGGCGCAGGAAAAGCGCAGGGTGTTTCAGATACTTTCATGAAACACAGTGCTTTGCAACTCAGGCACTTGGGCTTTTGAAAAATGTCTTCTAAACTCCGGAACTTGCGCCCTGACCAGTTCAAGTACACACCTTGACTGCTTACTACTAAAATAGGGGACACTCTGCTTTTGGGTTTCTATCTTTGATTTCTTGGAGATTTAGTTCAGTCTGCTTGCGTTCGGGTTCCTGAGGTGCAAGCACTTCTCAAAACTCTGCAGATGGCACCGACAGTTAGAAGCATCACTGTTTTGGAGAGGCCTTGGACTGCAGTAGCAGGAGCACGGGAGTAATCTCAACACAAGCGCCTCACTGAGAAGCCCCACCCCACCCAGGGGGTTGGGCTGTCCACACTGCACCCTGGATACCACAGGGATGTCTGTGCCTGCTGTTTCCACCGCCATTCACCCCCCCCCCCTTCTGAGCTACAGCAGGCTATGGCAGAGGGCTCCTTGAGGAGGCATGCAGCTCCGAGGGCCTCCTCTCACACAGGCTGCTGTCAAACTTCTTAAAGAACCTTTAAAGTACACTTCCTAATGTGTCTGCTTCTGACCCCCCCAATTCCAGCCTCTCTTAGTCGACCTACGCAGACTTCCTCAGCGGGTCTGAAAATTCCTGAAGACAAAGTGCTGATACCGTGTCGGGTGAACACAACTCTACTTGCTATTAAACATTGTTTACATTAAGAAAGAGTTGCTGAACTAAAGGAAAGGCATCGTTGTTTCCTGAAACAACAACAAAAAAGAAAACAAGACGGGTTTGGATTTCTAAAGAGAGGACTCAAGAGATGGATCAAAAGTGACCCCAGAGACCCTGCAGCCATTGGAAGAGCGGCAGGTAGTCTCACCCTAGCTCCCATTCTGCCCTTCTTTTCATTACCATCCCCCAACGGGAAGGGCAGCCTGAAGGGAAGCAGTCACTGGCCGGCGCATGCCAGGGCAGAGGGTGTCACCGGGGCCCCAGTGCCAGGGCCTGCTCACAGGCTGGCAAGGAGAGTCACTCTAGAGAGCAGAAAGCCAAGTTACCTTCCTGCAAGCCACTGCCCTAGGTCTCAAGGGGGGCCCAGCTAGCTTTCGGCAGCTCAGAAGGCAATGCTCACGTCCACATGAGCACGCGTGAGAGCTACTCACACAATGGCGACTACCCGGAGCTACCAGAGTAGCAGGGAGAGCTCTTACTAGTCCAGACTAAGAAGGAGATGGAAGCTAAAAGAAAAGCTACAATTGAAGGCAAGGTGGAGGGTCTTTAGACAAGTGAATTAAGAAGCCTAAGTCCTTCGAGCAACAGAAAAATTACTGGAGAGATTGGAAAATTAGTGACTTCAACTATGAAATCCTTACACGTTCGCCAGTGACTGAAACAAAAGATTCTCACACAAGGGCTCACCCATCTTGGACGACTGCTGCAGTCATGGCAAACAAAGGGTTTTATCCTCAGGACGCAAAGCTGCCCATGATGGCAGATAAAAAGGACCTTTTCCTATTTACTGGTAATTAGAAGACCCACACATACAAACAGTTTTAAGTAAAAGAACATTTGCCCATTCAGGCCTGACCTCATTGCGCACTAAGATGCATACTTGGTTTTATCTGTGAAGCTATTGTTACCAGTTTAAGTGAGACTATCACAAAAGAACCACTAAGCAGGAACAGTGACCCTCCAAGGCAGTAGCCGACACCGGCCCACGCCCGCCATGAGCACAGTGTCTCCAAAACAAGTGGGAAGCTTGGGGCAGGGGGCTGGGCTAAGCTCTACCACTAAAAAACTGGGGTTAACACACCCAAAGTGTGACTCGCTATGTGCAAATCATACCCCACACCACACTCTTTTATACAGAGAATTCCATGAGGGCTGATCTTAACATGTAATGGCCCATTTTTCAGATGGCGGGCAAAGGGCGATGGGTAAATATGTTATCTTCATGTAGTTTCTACATAGAGCAAGCAACATGATCCTTCACTCAGGATCAGCTTCGGCAGCCACGACACAACACAGGTCTATGTCCTCACCCTCACCAAGAAAGCCCGGGAGAGCCTTAAGGGAGGCTGAGGGGATCTGCTGACGCTTACCTATGGACTTTGGCAGCAGGTTCTTGACAAATTCAGTGTGGTCCCCGACATGCAGGATGCTGTAGACACTTTTGTTCATCAGCTCCTCCTGGTTGTACCTTAGATACTGTGTGACGTTCTCTGACACGAACACCACATTGCCTTCCAGGTTCACTACAAAGAAGAACCCATCAAGGGCCTAGGGGAAAAGACCGACTGTATTAGAAACGGGCGACAGTGATGACGGGAGCCGGCTCTTCAAGGCAAAGAAAGTTTCCTTGCCCTTCTAGTTCTCAGAAATAATGAACACACTTTCTCTTGGGAAACAGAAATGATTCCGTCCTGGTTAGTGGAAGACAGGCTACCGTGGGGTCTCTTGTTGGAGCCCCCACAGTAAACACTAAGTCCGTTAATCTACCAGGAAACAACTTGGCAAATAAACACGTACAGGAACGAGATGGAAGGATGCCACAAGGCTAGCTCAAGAGTTATATCACCAGCCCACACACCATCACTTTGTCCCATACCTATGCACGGTATGCCTCGAGAGGAAGGGGCCAGCAACCTTTTTTTCCCTTCGTTTAAAAATAAGTACCAGGGGAAATCCCCTAATTTATACAACTTTTAACGTGGCCAGGGTTTAAGTGGAAGCCCAGATGGTCTCAGACCTTCGCAGTGACATCCGGCTCCATTGTCTGGTATGTATGTAGGGAAGCATCTGGGCAGGGTCTCTGGCATGGTGGCCTCATGGGGTGGCAGCCCTGGCTGAGAGGGCCCCCACATTAAGAAACGGGTGCCTGAGTTATCTAAGTGTTGGCAGCATGCATCCTGTTACGGGGTTCACTGTCTCACTCTGGGTGCAGAAAGAGAGACGTTTTAAACGCTGTAAGAAGCGAAGACAAATGACAGCTAAGGGGTATGTTTACTCTGCGGCGGCACGCCGTGTCCTGTTGGTCCAGTCAGTAGCAGAGCTGTCGATGAATCCAGGGGACCTTCCGTTCGCATTGGCAGTGATGGCTCTGTGTCTAGCCACACCTTTTATACTGTTGATCCTTGCTACAGAGCTGTTTCACAGACCTACTAGTAGTCAGGACTTAGAAAGGCTGGATACTGTTTGAAGCAACCACAGTCTGTCTATGATACTTAGTGTCTTCACGATACATATCTATGGCATTTGTAACATGAACGGGCCACGCCTCATCCCACACACCCTGGGTATAGATGGCCTCAAGACTTGGTCCCCAGGAGTCTGTTCATGGAAGAGGCTTCTGTTGTCAGTTGCTTTGGAATAATCCATTCTGTCTTTAATTCTACTGTCATAACAAAACTAGGTGCCCTTCCATCTAGAACTGATCCTGAGGTATAAGTGAGAAGTTGTTCAGGAAAGGAAAAAAAAAAAAAAACAACTAGGTGTGGTGGCATGCATCTTTAATGCTAGCACCCGAGCAGCCGAGGCAGAAGAAATGCTGTGAGTTCAAGGAAGTCTAAGCTACACAGTCAAGAACCTGTCTTGAAGCCCATCCCACATAGAGGGTCACTGTCTCAGCCTGGACACATGGGGGACGGCCTGGGCCCTGCTCCAAACGGAGCAACAGCGAGGCCTCGCCCTCGCTGGGGAGCAGAAAGGGGATGGGGTGGGTTGGTGGGGGAAACAGGGGAGGATGGGAGGGTGAGGGAACTGGGATTAATATGTAAAGCAAGTTTGTTTCAAATTTAAAATTAAAAAGAAAAGAACCTGTCTTGAAACAATAACAAACAAGAAGAAAGAACAACAATGGAGCAAAGACACAAACCAGCCAGCCATTTTCCATAAATACCCGTCAGGTCTTCTCTAGACTATGGACCACATACAGGGAAAGCGGGGCCATAAATGTGCACACAGCACGGACCAGGCTGCACCCACCAACGTACACAGCGTGCGCTGGCTGGCAGGGTCACAGGGAGGGGCATGCATCCACTCACACCTCTGTCCCTCTCCCTCACTGCTGGGGACCTTCAGCAGACATTTTCAGCCTCTCCTCACTGCACTGCTCACGTGGCTTTTGAGAGAGCACGTCACTTCTTAGGGCTGGGTACCCTGGTAAGAAGGCTGATTTGTAGCCTAATGAGACTGAAAGATGAAAGTGGCTTTCTTATAAAACTGTTGGTGTTTTCTTAAAGCTCAGTGTGATGTGCTCTGTGATGAAAAAGGCGGACATTGCCTCTGTTGCCTGGCAACCACTATGCTATGATGCAAGCATGAGTGTGCATCTGTGCCTACGAACAGCTCCGCAAGAACATGCTTTCCCCGTTTAAACGACTACATGGAAATATGGGTGAAGGTTCCAACCTAAACCATAGTCACCAGATTCAGGGACTTCTGCTCTAATATATTTATTTAGTACTAGACTTCTGTACGACTGTATACAGGGACTTGCTCCGTGCACTCAATTCTCAGAAGACGACTTGGTTTGATGTTATGAGATAAGGGCTGCTGACATCCAGCAATCCAATTTCTACAATTAACGGACGTTTCTCAAGGGCCGAGCCATAGGCTGTGGTTGCTCCCAGCATTTCTTTCTAGAAGCCCCAAAGGTACTCCAAGGAGTCTCCAGTGGTCTTTCCCACTCACAGACATAACAAACAAACAGTTACATGGAAAAATTCCAAGTAAACTTCTGCTGGAAATTCAGGAGGTTTTCCAAAGGAAGCCGTCCACTTCTTTTACAGAATTCTAAATAGTCAGCTGGTTACGACCTTTGCATTGTTTCTAAGAACCAAGTAGGAAGTGTTCCCTTATGGCTTCAGTGAGTGCGGAAAATCCGGTTAAATGTTGTGCCCCTGTGCATAAATGCCAACCCGGGTCATCCAAAACCTTTTCCATAGCGGGCCCAGCCCCAGGGGATGAATTCAGTTATTTCTAAATGCAAAGACCGGGTCGGGCAAGCTTCAGTCTCCGTCTCCAACCCCAATTTATACAATAGGCCTTATCGAGAAATAGGTTTCTAAAATCTACCTTATGAGAAAAGGGTCAAGAGAGTGCAAGCTAGCTTTGTTTTAAATGTTCCAGCTCTTATTTCCACGTGGCCGTGGCTGTGGCCCCTGCAACTGGCACAGTGCTTCCCAGGTGACAGTGCTGCAGCTCTGACCACGTGGTCCCTTCAAGCTCAGGATGTCATCAGCAGAGCAAGTTACGCTGAGCCTGACATAATTTATGTCTCGGCATCTCTGTTTCTTTACTCAGTGATATTTTCCCCTCTCATCTTACCGTAGTCCACATCTTGAATTTTAATTTTGAAAGAGGACAGAAAAGCACTCTGTGTTTAGTACCAGATAATAAACTAAGGAAGACTTTATAAGCCTGAGACAGTAGCTGCCTTAAGGCTGCCAAGACCAGCCACGCCATTATGCTTTTAAATGTTCCTTCATCCTATTTCAACCATCAATTTTATGAGACAAATGAGCTAGTTTGAAGTAGCCTCTTTGGTTTTCCCATTTAAAAGCTGTCTATACAGGCAGAGGCACATGGCGCACACGGACCCTGAACCGGAGGGGCAGGTCCCATGGAACCCAACAGGGCTTGCAAGTGCAGTCTTGGAAAATGAAGGCTCAATTGGCAGTGAAAGCCTGCCAGCTTGTGTTCTCATCTCCTTTCATTCTAAGCTGTCACCTTCACTCGCGCATGCGCAGGAGGCAAGAGCCCAGACAGACAGACACAGCCACACGCGCTGGCAAGCGCAGGAGCGTGGGCTCTCCGTAAGTTATGTCCACCTGAAATGAAAGGCAGCACATGGACACTGAAAACATTTCAAAACACAAAACCAAACGAGGGTGTGGTACCTCAAGCATCATAGGCCCCAGTGCGTCCTTGTCGATGACACCCTGCCCTGTGGACGACACGTCTGACTTCTGCACTTCATCTATGTTGGCTGCGGCGGCTTTCTCTGCAACAAATGCAAGAGTAAATTAAATAGTGGTGCTATTTTGAGGGTGGACTGACACCAAACCTCCAGTGAGGTCAGATGTGCCTGTGAGTGAGTCAGAGTAATCCCAGCCGCCCCTGGAGGGCAGGAATGTCTGGAAGGAGGAGCCAGAGGCCACCTTTTACCTCCAGAAGGTGTGTGTCTGATCCCCTTTCTGGCTTTTGAGAAAATGACGTTAGAGGCTTCGTGCTGCTCCCTAGCAGACACTTGGAAAGTACAGATTGTGAAACTATACTATGGCACACTTAGTAGTTGGGGTGGGGGGCGGTGTCTGTTGCTTAGAGTTCAATAGCATCATTAGGGGCATACCCTCCACACTGGAGAAGAAATAACAGAAGCCTTGACCTAACTGTTCAAAGGACTTAATGACTAAAGGCAGAGGGAGGAGGCTTCCCCTCAGGTACTCAGAGAATGCCAATGGCCAGGCTTTGACATTGTACACAGCTGCTGAATAGCACTCCTGGATTTAAATTCCCACGGCTGAAGACACCATCCGCACGCATGAGACCACTTTGTAAAAAAGTGCACAGGAGACAGGATGTGTGGCTATCAGTACATGTGTAAATGAGTTCCTTCAAGGATGGTAAAGTAAGTTTACAGAATAACACACATAGCCACAGCCTGCTAGAAAACAACACAAATGCAATGTGCCAAGTACTTGCAAACTGAATAAATTACATCCTTCTTTACACTGCATGTTTTCATTATAATGAAATGCAAAAAATAAAATCTCCAAACCAATAAACTGCAACTCTATTTAGCACTCACAGACAACGTGTTTTTCCATAACCATAATAACTTTTTTTTTGTAAAATCAATTTTATACAGTATTTAAAAACCAGTCAAAGCCTAATTTATGGAACCTAGAAGTAAGCAGGGGATCATGTAGGTCCACCAAATCCCGCCACTCCCAGTGCAGAGTGCAAAGCCTTCGCCATGTGTGCCTGCCAGCAGAGAGAAAAGGTGGCCATGTTACTCAAGGTCTACTGCACTATTCGGCCAGACACACACAGCCACCCACAGGCCTGTTTCAGTCTCCGCCACCTGTATATCACGGCTTGTGTCCCTGACAACTGAAGGAACATGGAAAACACACTCCAGAAACTACCAAGCTGGTTAGGCAAGACGGTTCAGTGGGCATGAGGTTTAGTGGTAAAAAGCGAGGGTCTGAGTTAGAGAAGGAGGGAGGGAGAGAAGGAGGTGCAGACACCGGACTGAAATTAATGTTGGAGGCAACAGCTGCTCATCAAATGGGAACACTGTCCCTTTCACCGCCAGGTCAGCCTGTGCTCTGAACTGTGGATCCTTCTCTACAGCCCCTAAAAAGGTTTTAATCTTAACAACACAATATTTTCTCCCTAAATCCAAGAGAATTAGTGCTGAAGAAGATGACCCTAAATTTATGTTACCACGGACGCTAGGTACTTTTCTCACTCTGTGATGAAAACACCTGACAAGAAAGGGCAGTTTAGTTGACGATCTGAAGGTCTGTCCACACGGGAGAGAGGGCAGCGGTCAGAGCTGTTGGAGACTGGCGGAACCTGGAGCAGTTGGCCACACCCCACAATCAGGGAGAACAGACGAGTGAGCACTCAGCTTTCTTTACTTTTAAAAAGATTGCCTGTTTGTAAACCTAAGCCTATTGTCCTATGAGGTTCTGCTATCGCAAAAGGAGAGAATTATTGCTTTCTGTGGGGTCTGTACTATTGTTGCTTTAAGGGGCAAATGAATATATCTTTGTGATAGGTGTTAATGTAATCAATAGACTTTATGCAACACACATATCTACAGGATATGGTCTCTTTCTGAGGATGTAATTAATCTGTTTGTGTAATTTACACAACGTTTCTGATGGTAACTTAATCAGGCGGTGGTTATAAACTTCATCTCATGTCTGTATGCTGTGACTGTTACAGCCACATGCACAGGCAGAGTGTTTCACTCCTCAGGAAAACACACAGACATACAAGGAGTCAAGAGAAATCATCACAAAAGTTTTTTTTTCAGGGGCTTACCAATCAGACCTGGGACGAGGGCCAGGAGATGACTTAGCTCCGATAGTCTGTGTGTACAAGATTTCTGGAAAGCTTGGGGAAAATTAAGTATTACTCTGAAAAACTGTTTCTAATAACAAAGTATGCTGTGTTTTTGCCTTGTAATATTCAACTGGTAAATCTTTAGAAGGAAAAAGGCAGCAGGTAATGCTAGTATCCGAGCATGAGTGTTTCACACAGGAAGTGCAGTTGTCACCTACGGGCTGCATTCAGTGGCCTTTAAGCAGGTGTGTGTTTCCAAGTGTCAAGAACCACCTTCACTGCCAAGAGGTCACACTGCCACTGGGAAATGGAGAGCTGAGCGGCAAGGAGCCGGTTTTAATTCATAGAAGAAAGGAATGATGGGCACAGCTGAACCCATTCCATGTATGTTGAGACTGGGTTGGATTCTGGGGGATGCGCATGTGGATGAGGGTATCAGGCTGCAAGAAGTCTCAGGCAGGCCTCGGAAAGCCAATGTCTTCCCTGTGCTGCCGTGGAACTTGCTCTGTAGCGCAGGCTGGCCTGAACTCACAGAGATCCACCTGCCTCTGCCTCCCAAGGGCGGGGGTTACAGGTGTGCGCAACCACTGCCCACCCAAAACCAATATTCTCAATGTCATCAAATAACTAGAATGAACACAAATGAAACAATAATTTCCCAAGACGAGGAATGTGTGACGTCAAAGGAAGCCCAGGAGGTATACAGAGGAAAGACAAGGCAAGTTATGCAGAGGAGGAGAACTTGTCATCGCTCGCCATTAGATAAACGAAGCCAGCAGGTGCGAGTGTTGGGACCACATTCGTTTTCCAGACAACGTGCTGTGTGCTATTCAGTTCCGCCCTGAACTGCTCGGGCCCCTCTCCACAGTAAAATCAAAAGCAATCAGTACTATGTACTGACACAAGACACCCAGAAAGAAACATGGCTTTACCAACTCGACTGGAATCTAAGTCAAGCTGGTCCTGACTTTACAGTATGTGGGTACTTCTGTTCGCCGTCCAGTTCAGCCTTGCAATTAAATGAGAGGAGCACAAGAGTTAGGGAGGAAGAGACAGAGGAAGGAGGGGGCGGGGTGGGGGTGGGGAGGCAGGGGGAGGAAGCAGGGGGCGGAGGAGGAAGTCTCCTCTGAGACAAGCTGGAGTGATGAGCAGGCTACACTCACGCTGTCTGTACGTGCCGTGTGAAAACATGCTCCAAGCCTTAGACATTCACACTCCTGTAAGTGAGTACAGCATCACCATGCTAAAACATACCGTTTAATATTTTTAAATTAGGCAGTTTTCTCAGCGGTCAGGAACTATATTTAGTGTTCTATATTTTGCATCCATTAACTATAAAAACACATTGTTATAAAAATACCCTTTGGTAAGAGGCACCAGGGGAAGGCTGGTTGCAGATTTCACATGATCACAACCTTATGAGCCCTCATCATAAGGCTGGAGAGGGGAGGCTCGCATTTGAATCCCGGAGCCCCTGCTCTGCCTCCGCCATTACAGTCATTTTGTTTTAGGTAAAGAATTTGACCCGAGAGAGCAGCAATGGAGGCCATACTCTCTCCTTTTCTTTTTCTGTCCTCCAAAAGATTTCTGAAAATCATAAAGCAGCTACTTAACAGCTGTTTTACAAACGCCAAACCCTGGCTGGAGAGCTCTTCCACACCGCCCCTCCAGCGCCGTCTGACTCCTCTGACTACCCTTGTCCTCCTGGGTGGCTGCAGGGAGACGTCCCGCCCGCTCCCTTCTCCATTTGCCTGCACTCCAGAAATCCAATACCAATTAATTAGATTTCCAGTTTCAAAGCAAAGAACAAATCCCATCTCTTCAGGGACTGTGTGAAGATGAGTCATAGCACAAACTGGGGGAAATCATTAATATTAAATTCCCTATTTTTCATAAGTAATTATTATTCGTGCTTTCTCTGAGAACAAAAGAAAAGGTGGAGCATTTGATCTCTAGAAATAAAACTGACTTAACAATACAGGAAAAGCATGTCTTTGAAGTAGCTGGATTAAATCGCTCTTTATCAATGCCATGTATAGGCATAAATTTGAAAGTACAATTCCAGTTTTCTGGTGAGAACAGCAATAAATCAGAAATACAGCCCAGTCCCCCCATATCCCCCCAAAATCATTTATTTTTAAAGAAAGCATATGGGCTATTTGGGAGTTTTGAAGCAGTTCTGTTTTGTTAGCCCTTTACATACTCGTCTAAGGTCTATTTATAGATCTACAGTAGTGTATAGTATACCCGAGCTTACACATCAGTCTTATGCATTTGTTTGTTAGCTAAGCACATTGAGAACACAAAAGCTCAGTCTTTCCCCAAAAAACTGCCAGGACACAGGGTCCCTCCCTTCAAGAGGGCATCGATGGCTTGGATGGCTAGCCACACACAGGACAGTTCTAATTCCAGCAGAGTAGTGGCAGCCACCAGCGGTTGCTTAGAAGCCAGGGTATGCCTGCCCATTACAGGGACGGGGTGGTACAGCACCACGGGAGAAGCTAATGCTCACCCTTTGTCTACTTCCTTCTTGTTTTCTTTAAGTAAAATAACGTAAAGAGGCTGTAGAAAGCTCATGGATATCAGCTGTAAAAAGCTTGAGCTCAACAAACAGCACCCGCCCTGTGGAAATGTCGTCTGCTGAAGGATAATCCCCAGGCATTTGCAGGAACAGAACCATTTTGGTGGAGATCCATCCTTGACGTGAAAGCCAATTAAAAGTTTCAGTGACTTTCACCTTAGGCCAAGCATGAAGGTAACTGCTTTTACTAAATCCAAGTTATTTAGAGCTTCAGAATCTTTGGCTAAAATGAACCAGACACGTTGTACAGGTCTTATATTAATTTCACTGCTTTAAAATGAGTAAAAGCACTCGCGCAGAAACCTATCAATTGCTCAGTGGACTGATGTCAAACAGGCGTCTAA